CTGTCTGTCTGCCTGTCTTCCTGACTGTCTGTTACAAGGATATTGAAACAGGGTTAAATTAGCTTCCGCATGACACTAAAATATGGCATTTCAATATTTTTGTATTGATGTTGGTTGGTTGTATGTAAGCTTCACAATTTTATAAAGGTGTATTGGCAAAACTGTACAGTGACAAGTGAAACAGCATACACCAATAGTTATACAAATCTATATTAACTGTTTTCTTTTCAATTAATTATAGAGAAATGTTAATGATTCATGTGAAATGAATTCAGAGTGCATTGATAAAGAAGCATAATGTCAACCTGGCCACACTATACAGACACATACACACACACACGAGCTCAGGTAAAATAGTAATATATACCAGTCAAAAGTTTGGACACACCTACTCATTCAAGGGTTTTTCTTTATTTTTACTATTTTCTACATTGTAGAATAATAGTGAAGACATCAAAACTATGAAATAATACATATGGAATCATGTAGTAACCAAAAAAGTGTTAAACAAAACAAAATATATTTGAGATTTGAGATTCTTCAAAGTAGCCACCCTTTGCCTTGATGACAGCTTTGCACACTCTTGACATTCTCTCAACCAGCTTCATGAGGTAGTCACCTGGAATGCATTTCAATTAACAGGTGTGCCTTCTTAAAAGTTCATTTGTAGAATTTATTTTCCTTCTTAATGCGTTTGTGCCAATCAGTTGTGTTGTGACAAGGTTGGGGTGGTATACAGAAGATAGCCCTATTTGGTAAAAGACCAAGTCCATATTATGGCAAGAACAGCTCAAATAAGCAAAGAGAAACGACAGTCCATCATTACTTTAAGACATGAAGGTCAGTCAATCTGGAAAATGTCAAGAACTCTGAAAGTTTCTTCAAGTGCAGTCGCAAAAACCATCAAGCGCTATGATGAAACTGGCTTTCATGAGGACCGCCACAGGAAAGGAAGACCCAGAGTTACCTCTGCTGCAGAGGATAAGTTCATTAGAGTTACCAGCCTCAGAAATTGCAGCCTAAATAAATGCTTCACAGAGTTCAAGTAACAGACGCATCTCAACATCAACTGTTCAGAGGAGACTGCGTGAATCAGGCCTTCATGGTCGAATTGCTGCAAAGAAACCACCACTAAAGGACACAAATAATAGAGAGACTTGCTTGGGCCAAGAAACACGAGCAATGGACATTAGATCGGTGGAAATCTGTCCTTTGGTCTGATGAGTCCACATTTGAGATTTTTGGTTCCAAACGCCGTGTCTTTGCAGAGTAGGTGAAAGGATGATCTCCGCATGTGTAGTTCCCACCATGAAACATGGAGGAGGAGGTGTGATGGTGTGGGGATGCTTTGCTTGTGACACTGTCAGTGATTTATTTCGAATTCAAGGCACACTTAACCAGCATGGCTACCACAGCATTCTGCAGCGATACGGCATCCGATCTGGTTTGCGCTTAGTGGGACTATCATTTGTTTTTCAACAGGACAATGACCCAACACACCTCCAGGCTGTGTAAGGGCTATTTGACAAGGAGGAGAGTGATGGAGTGCTGCATCAGATGACCTGGCCTCCACAATCACCCGACCTCAACCCAATTGAAATAGTTGGACCGCAGAGTGAAGGAAAAGCAGCCAACAAGTGCTCAGCATATGTGGGAACTCCTTCAAGACTGTTGGAAAAGCATTCCAGGTGAAGCTGGTTGAGAGAATGCCACGAGTGTGCAAAGCTGTCATCAAGGCAAATGGTGGCTACTTTGAAGAATATAAAATATATTTGATTTGTTTAACACTTTTTTGGTTACTACATGATTCCATATGTGTAATTTCATAGGTTTGATGTCTTCACTATTATTCTACAATGTAGAAAATAGTAAAAAAAAAATAATAATAATCTTGAATGAGTAGGTGTGTCCAAACTTTTGACTGGTACTGTATATATGCATCCATTAGGTCTATCTGAATCACCATACCCATTATGATAGACCTATCGATGTCTGAATATCCTGCATGAATATGCCTATCTGTGGTTGGCGCGTGTACAGATGTGTTGACGTCAGTGAGAAAATGTATCGTCTTATTTAAACCATTATAAAACCATGGCAACTGAATGGTCATATCAGACAGGTTTGATATTACACTAAATCGAATGATCCATCAGAAAATATATCCAACGGTCACCTCGTGATCACATTCGGTTCTGGCTGGCAACCTGTTTGTCTCACTGTCTTATCAATGTTGGCGATTTTTACATTTCCAATAAACTAACGCACACACATCCGGCCTAGTAATGTTGTGATGATCATCATATTTCAAACGTTTGCACAAATGGGAGCTTCATTCGATCAATTCTCCTCCGAATTCTCATTCGTCATCATCAACCGTGGATGTCGCCAACCGACAGAGACTTACCTCATCTCGGTCTCCCTGCCCGAACTGGAGCCCCAGATCCACGAAATGTTCGACCCGAATGTAACCATCAGCATCCTCATCACACACGTCGAATACCTCCTTGAGCTTTTTCAGAAACCCTAGAAGCTGTTCTTGATCGGGGAAGACGTTTCCTTCCATCTTCGAGTTCGGTTTGTCAGATAATGTCGTTATTGAACGGACTTCGTTTGAATTCGTTCTGTAGTGGCCATCATTCCGGTTGCTGCTCTCCGCTGGTGCCGTTGCGGACTGGCTCGGTTGGCGCTGTTACATCAGCAGCATCCCGTTACCGAATGGGAAGGACCACTGATCGACGAGCGGTGGGTAGAGACGATAATTGGCTACGATTCACTATCATGAAAAAAAAAATCGATTTACGTAAACAATTTGATGTTATTGTGATACCGTCTAGCTCCTTGATTGTTTTCCAACCACATGACTATCGAATAGAAACTTGTAAATAAATATCCCCTTGGAAATTTATAATTACTGTAAATCAATGTGAAAGATACAATTTGATGTTATTGGGATACCATCTACCTCCTACCTTAATTGTTTTCCAAACATACGACTATTGAATAGAAACTTGGAAGTTAATCATTACTGTAAATCAATGTGAAATAAATGGTGATATTTAAAACTAAAAACGGCTCTAAATATGACACACATATTGGAAAATGTATGTATTTTCCTTGTACAAGCCCCAGCTCCATGGTTACCCTGAATAGCTACTTACATTACATTAATTGGCCTGACCTCTACTGTGTAGATGCTATTCTTAATAAATAACTACTGGATCTATAGCATAGTTTATTAAGAAACCACACATACCCGGTCATAGGATATCACAAACTTTATTATCTTACAAACAAGTATTTAAAAAAAAATCAAGGGACATTCACAGTTATAACAATGTGTAAAAAAAAAAAACACATAAAACCATAGACTAAGATCAAGAGATAGTAAATGACAAGAGACCAAAGAACATCTTTGACAGTACTTCCTCAACCTGCCCTGTACCCTCCTTTCCGCAATACAACATTAGAAGGTTTGAGTGGGGCATTAAAAACGGTGCTCATCACACCCAGAACTAAGACATGTGAACCAACTCATCAATAGCTTTAATCCAGACTTTGATTAGCTGAATCCATGGTTCTGGTCAATTCCATTTGAACTCTTGTCTGTTGAGGAAATGAACAAACTCAAACTATTGAATTAAAAAAATCTTCATAAAAACATTCTGAATTAGTTAATATCCTGAATTGACAGACTTGAAGTGGAATTGACCAGATTTTTTAGTGCTGGGCTGGAACAAAAGCCTGCCCTAATGCTGAAACACTCAGTGTGGGGAGGAGCAGGGTAAAATAAGGGTAAGGGGTTTGGTAAGGTAAAAATACTACCGCTGTATAAAGCGCTTCATCAGAGAGACTGTAGAGTCAACCACACATTGACATTAGGGCTGGTTTCCCGGACCCAGATGAAGCCTACTCCTGGACTTTAAAATAAGCACACTCAATGGAACACTTCCATTGAAAAATGTGATTAGGCTTAATCTGGGTCCAGGGTAAACCGTCTATGGGGGTGTCAGAACAAGCCCCAGTACATCCTCCGAAACAGAAACCGACTGGCCATGCGGCAGATCTGGTAAATACCAGATTTGGGCCGGTCTAAATTGGGGTTGTTTGCCGAATTATTATAATTTGGCCAATACTGGGGACCTCAAGGGGGGGAAAAAATGGGCCGGTGTGTTAGAAATGCCTGGGCCAAGTCGACCAAGAACGTCCATCTTGTTCCTCAGCCCAAATTCCCCACAACCAGCCTGGGCTCCAGCAGCGAGTCCCAACGTTCAGTCACCTGCGCACACACACACACACACACACACACACACAGAGAGAGACACAGATAGAGACACAGAGAGATAGACAAATAGACACACAGAGACAGAGAGAGAGACACAGAGAGAGAGAGAGCACAGAAAAAGGATTCTATTAATTCTATGGGAGTGACGTCACAGTCGTCCCCATGGTTACCGGAAAAATACAACATTCGGAATTCTGCACATACAGCTGTTTTATTGGGAAAAATGTAACCCCCCTTATGCCGGGTTTAAAGTAGCCCACCGGTTTTCTCTTTCAACTAAGCGATTGTAAGGGACATTCATTGGACAATGAACAGCTTCCCTCAACGTGTGGGTGATGGGGTTAAAATGCAGTCAGGGACAATAGAGCGAGGTTAGCTCATCCAAACAGTGTCACACAGACGGTACAGAGTGAGAAGAGGCCTGCTTAGTGAAGAGAGGGTGGTCAGTGGAACCAGAACAACATTCAGCGGTTACGCCATAACCCTGGCTCTGACATACAATATGATAATACAGTATGGTAGAAATTAAATCTAAATAATTAACGTGCGCAGTTCAATTTTCCTGCAGGATTGCTGCATTTATTGCATGTAGACAGGTTCTATGAAATAACGTTGTATTGAACAGTATCTTACCCAAACAGCGTACTCCGCTCTCTGAGCCCATTGGTTTTATTCATGTTTATAAAACGTACAGTAACAGTATTTTATGTCTTACCCTGGAGCCACGGGACACAGCGTACTCCACACTCTCTGATCCGTCAGCGTTCTGATACACCAGGTCAAACTTCCCCGGCTCCACCGGAGCTGAAGGACAGACAGACATGTTAGGGCGGTCCATCTTAGTAAGGCCCAGCATTGACCGGTAGTGTCAGGTGTCTTCAGATGGCTGGGGGAAACATCAGCTGAATCACCATTCTCCACCTTTCTCCCAAAGTGAGCACTGGCAGACTTGTCATGGATTCAACAATGGAACCTCACTCCAATCATCACACCAATCCAATGACAGGAAGTTGTGCCGGTGCACTTTGGAGAAGAGCGGAGAATCGGGATGCAGACACTGCTTTTATTTATTTTTTCCCTTTCATTTAAAATGTTAAGTGAGGGATCTTCAATCTTACCATGCGGTTGGCCTTACCTTAATAAGCAGAGAGCAGCCATCTGTTTGGCCTTACCTTAATAAGCAGAGAGCAGCCATCTGTTTGGCCTTACCTTAATAAGCAGAGAGCAGCCATCTGTTTGGCCTTACCTTAATAAGCAGAGAGCAGCCATCTGTTTGGCCTTACCTTAATAAGCAGAGAGCAGCCATCTGTTTGGCCTTACCTTAATAAGCAGAGAGCAGCCATCTGTTTGGCCTTACCTTGATAAGCAGAGAGCAGCCATCTGTTTGGCCTTACCTTAATAAGCAGAGAGCAGCCATCTGTTTGGCCTTACCTTGAAAAGCAGAGAGCAGCCATCTGTTTGGCCTTACCTTGAAAAGCAGAGAGCAGCCATCTGTTTGGCCTTACCTTAATAAGCAGAGAGCAGCCATCTGTTTGGCCTTACCTTAATAAGCAGAGAGCAGCCATCTGTTTGGCCTTACCTTAATAAGCAGAGAGCAGCCATCTGTTTGGCCTTACCTTGATAAGCAGAGAGCAGCTCTAGCTCAATCTGTTTTGTGCTGTGGTCAAAATGAATGATCTTCCCCTCCTGAAAGACAAACAGTGAGAAAAGACATTACCCAAATGAAACAGATAATATTTTTTTTAATGTAGCACATAAACATTTCTTACCACATGTATTTAGTCCTAGTTCAGGACATAACTTGAGAAAAAAGCGCTGTCCACATACTGTTAGAAAATAACAGTTCCTAACCGTGTTGACAGCTCTTTCTCCTCTAGTTATACCAGACACTGAAGACAGAGAAAACAGTTCCTAACCGTGTTGACAGCTCTTTCTCCTCTAGTTATACCAGACACTGAAGACAGAGAAAACAGTTCCTAACCGTGTTGACAACTCTTTCTCCTCTAGTTATACCAGACACTGAAGAGAGAAAACAGTTCCTAACCGTGTTGACAGCTCTTTCTCCTCTAGTTATATCAGACACTGAAGAGAGAAAACAGTTCCTAACCGTGTTGACAACTCTTTCTCCTCTAGTTATACCAGACACTGAAGACAGAAAACAGTTCCTAACCGTGTTGACAACTCTTTCTCCTCTAGTTATACCAGACACTGAAGACAGAGAGAAAACAGTTCCTAACCGTGTTGACAGCTCTTTCTCCTCTAGTTATACCAGACACTGAAGAGAGAAAACAGTTCCTAACCGTGTTGACAGCTCTTTCTCCTCTAGTTATACCAGACACTGAAGAGAGAGAGAAAACAGTTCCTAACCGTGTTGACAGCTCTTTCTCCTCTAGTTATACCAGACACTGAAGACAGAGAAAACAGTTCCTAACCGTGTTGACAGCTCTTTCTCCTCTAGTTATACCAGACACTGAAGACAGAGAAAACAGTTCCTAACCGTGTTGACAGCTCTTTCTCCTCTAGTTATACCAGACACTGAAGACAGAGAAAACAGTTCCTAACCGTGTTGACAACTCTTTCTCCTCTAGTTATACCAGACACTGAAGAGAGAAAACAGTTCCTAACCGTGTTGACAGCTCTTTCTCCTCTAGTTATACCAGACACTGAAGACAGAGAAAACAGTTCCTAACCGTGTTGACAGCTCTTTCTCCTCTAGTTATACCAGACACTGAAGAGAGAAAACAGTTCCTAACCGTGTTGACAGCTCTTTCTCCTCTAGTTATACCAGACACTGAAGACAGAGAAAACAGTTCCTAACCGTGTTGACAGCTCTTTCTCCTCTAGTTATACCAGACACTGAAGAGAGAAAACAGTTCCTAACCGTGTTGACAGCTCTTTCTCCTCTAGTTATACCAGACACTGAAGACAGAGAGAAAACAGTTCCTAACCGTGTTGACAGCTCTTTCTCCTCTAGTTATATCAGACACTGAAGAGAGAAAACAGTTCCTAACCGTGTTGACAACTCTTTCTCCTCTAGTTATACCAGACACTGAAGAGAGAGAAAACAGTTCCTAACCGTGTTGACAGCTCTTTCTCCTCTAGTTATACCAGACACTGAAGACAGAGAAAACAGTTCCTAACCGTGTTGACAGCTCTTTCTCCTCTAGTTATACCAGACACTGAAGAGAGAAAACAGTTCCTAACCGTGTTGACAGCTCTTTCTCCTCTAGTTATACCAGACACTGAAGAGAGAAAACAGTTCCTAACCGTGTTGACAACTCTTTCTCCTCTAGTTATACCAGACACTGACCTAACCGTGTTGACAGCTCTTTCTCCTCTAGTTATATCAGACACTGAAGAGAGAAAATAGTTCCTAACCGTGTTGACAGCTCTTTCTCCTCTAGTTATACCAGACACTGAAGACAGAGAAAACAGTTCCTAACCGTGTTGACAGCTCTTTCTCCTCTAGTTATACCAGACACTGAAGACAGAGAAAACAGTTCCTAACCGTGTTGACAGCTCTTTCTCCTCTAGTTATACCAGACACTGAAGACAGAGAGAAAACAGTTCCTAACCGTGTTGACAGCTCTTTCTCCTCTAGTTATACCAGACACTGACCTAACCGTGTTGACAGCTCTTTCTCCTCTAGTTATACCAGACACTGAAGAGAGAAAACAGTTCCTAACCGTGTTGACAGCTCTTTCTCCTCTAGTTATACCAGACACTGAAGAGAGAAAACAGTTCCTAACCGTGTTGACAGCTCTTTCTCCTCTAGTTATACCAGACACTGAAGAGAGAAAACAGTTCCTAACCGTGTTGACAGCTCTTTCTCCTCTAGTTATACCAGACACTGAAGACAGAGAGAAAACAGTTCCTAACCGTGTTGACAGCTCTTTCTCCTCTAGTTATACCAGACACCGAAGAGAGAAAAGGAGTTAGTCTTTCTGCTATTTTTACTCACTTTATACTCAGACACCTCTGGTGTGTAGTTCTCTGTCAGCTCCAGCAGCTGTGAACATACACAAACACACACTGGAGTGATAATGAGTGACATTGAGGCATGCAGCACCTTAGCAACACAGCTGTACAGTAATCTCTCACTGTTCTTCTATTTTAATTAAAGGAGGCTTTATTAGCATGGAAAATGGAGGGACTTACATTACCAGCGTCTTTAACTGTTTCCCACCTTGTCCATTGAGTCTACTGAATTAGTACCGCTAGGAGTTTTTCTTGGCCACATGACCTGAGCAGGAAAAACTCCAGCGTCTGAATGGAGTGACCCTATACCCTAACTATGCTATTTTTTCTACTAGTACATACAGTTGCTTCCATTTGAACCACTGGGAAACAGCGACAAGTGTTACTGAGTGGACCACCCTGGCTAAATAAAGACATGAAATTAGTGAAGGTAAATGCATTGCTTCCATTTGAACCGAGTTTATCAGACTGAGCTGTGTGGTGAATATAGAACTGTTCCATATCCAGCAGCAGCACCACGGCCTGTCTGAGTGGTGAGTTACCTCCAAGGCTGGTCTATAAGTGGTGAGTTACCTCCAAGGTTGGTCTATAAGTGGCGAGTTACCTCCAAGGTTGGTCTATAAGTGGCGAGTTACCTCCAAGGCTGGTCTATAAGTGGTGAGTTACCTCCAAGGCTGGTCTATAAGTGGCGAGTTACCTCCAAGGCTGGTCTATAAGTGGCGAGTTACCTCCAAGGCTGGTCTATAAGTGGTGAGTTACCTCCAAGGCTGGTCTATAAGTGGTGAGTTACCTCCAAGGTTGGTCTATAAGTGGTGAGTTACCTCCAAGGCTGGTCTATAAGTGGTGAGTTACCTCCAAGGCTGGTCTATAAGTGGCGAGTTACCTCCAAGGTCTGTCTGAGTGGTGAGTTACCTCCAAGGCTGGTCTATAAGTGGCGAGTTACCTCCAAGGCTGGTCTATAAGTGGTGAGTTACCTCCAAGGTCTGTCTATAAGTGGTGAGTTACCTCCAAGGCTGGTCTATAAGTGGCGAGTTACCTCCAAGGCTGGTCTATAAGTGGTGAGTTACCTCCAAGGTCTGTCTGAGTGGCGAGTTACCTCCAAGGTTGGTCTATAAGTGGCGAGTTACCTCCAAGGTTGGTCTATAAGTGGTGTGTTACCTTGAAGGTCTATAAGTGGTATGTTACCTTGAAGGTTGGTCTATAAGTGGTGTGTTACCTTGAAGGCTGGTCTATAAGTGGTGAGTTACCTCCAAGGTCTGTCTATAAGTGGTGAGTTACCTTGAAGGTCTACAAGTGGTGTGTTACCTTGAAGGCTGGTCTATAAGTGGTGAGTTACCTTGAAGGTTGGTCTATAAGTGGTGAGTTACCTTGAAGGTTGGTCTATAAGTGGTATGTTACCTTGAAGGTTGGTCTATAAGTGGTATGTTACCTTGAAGGTTGGTCTATAAGTGGTGTGTTACATTGAAGGTTGTCTACAAGTGGTATGTTACCTTGAAGGTTGGTCTACAAGTGGTGTGTTACCTTGAAGGCTGGTCTATAAGTGGTGAGTTACCTTGAAGGTCTATAAGTGGTGAGTTACCTTGAAGGTCTATAAGTGGTGTGTTCCTTGAAGGTGGTCTAAATAAGTGGTGAGTTACCTTGAAGGTTGGTCTATAAGTGGGTTTGTGTTACCTTGAAGGGGGTCTATAAGTGGTGAGTTACCTTGAAGGTTGGTCTATAAGTGGTATGTTACCTTGAAGGTTGGTCTATAAGTGGTGAGTTACCTTGAAGGTTGGTCTATAAGTGGTGTGTTACCTTGAAGGCTGGTCTATAAGTGGTGAGTTACCTTGAAGGTTGGTCTATAAGTGGTGTGTTACCTTGAAGGTTGGTCTATAAGTGGTGAGTTACCTTGAAGGTTGGTCTATAAGTGGTGTGTTACCTTGAAGGCTGGTCTATAAGTGGTGAGTTACCTTGAAGGTTGGTCTATAAGTGGTGAGTTACCTTGAAGGTCTATAAGTGGTGTGTTACCTTGAAGGCTGGTCTATAAGTGGTGTGTTACCTTGAAGGCTGGTCTATAAGTGGTGAGTTACCTTGAAGGTTGGTCTATAAGTGGTGTGTTACCTTGAAGGCTGGTCTATAAGTGGTGAGTTACCTTGAAGGCTGGTCTATAAGTGGTATGTTACCTTGAAGGCTGGTCTATAAGTGGTGTGTTACCTTGAAGGCTGGTCTATAAGTGGTATGTTACCTTGAAGGCTGGTCTATAAGTGGTATGTTACCTTGAAGGTTGGTCTATAAGTGGTATGTTACCTTGAAGGTTGGTCTATAAGTGGTATGTTACCTTGAAGGTTGGTCTATAAGTGGTGTGTTACCTTGAAGGTTGGTCTATAAGTGGTATGTTACCTTGAAGGTTGGTCTATAAGTGGTGTGTTACCTTGAAGGTTGGTCTATAAGTGGTATGTTACCTTGAAGGTTGGTCTATAAGTGGTATGTTACCTTGAAGGTTGGTCTATAAGTGGTGAGTTACCTTGAAGGTTGGTCTATAAGTGGTGTGTTACCTTGAAGGTTGGTCTATAAGTGGTGTGTTACCTTGAAGGTTGGTCTATAAGTGGTGAGTTACCTTGAAGGTTGGTCTATAAGTGGTGAGTTACCTTGAAGGTTGGTCTATAAGTGGTGAGTTACCTTGAAGGTTGGTCTATAAGTGGTATGTTACCTTGAAGGCTGGTCTATAAGTGGTATGTTACCTTGAAGGCGATTTTCTGTCCCACCTGAGGGGGAGCAGCTAGGAGGGGCATCTCACTGTAGTCCCTCCTGGTGACACTCTCTGATGGGTTCTACAACACACACACACCTAGAAATATCATACCTCCCACATCTTCATTCCAGCAGCAACAGAAGTAGGTTACAGAATGCCACAGGGTTGGGGTCAAGTCCATTTCAATTTAGTCAATTCAAGAAGTAAACAGAAATTCCAATTCCAGTTCTGTGCTTTTCAATGAGAAAGAAAATGCTATCTAAATTACTTGAATTGACCAACCCTGGAATACCGTCTAGCAGTCAGTGACTTACCTGGAACACCACAGAGTTGTTAATCAGGGAGTCGTTCTGGTATGAAGGTAGCACCACAGTGTTGTTAACCAGGGAGTCATTCTGGTACGATGGTAGCTGCTGATGATTATTCTGCTGTCGCTGTCCACCTTCATAGTTGAAATAAAACCCTGCATGATCTCCTCCTGCCCCTCTATCTTCTCCTCTCCCCCCACCACGAGGACCCCTGTCCCACTCCCCACCTCTACCCCCCCTGCCTCCACCACCACCCCAACCCTGGCCTCGATCCCCTCTACCCCAACCCCTATCCCCTCTACCCCCACCCCTCTCTGCACTCCTAGGGCTTCCCCTGCCTCGGCCTCTCCAGGTGGGGTCTGCTGTAATAGCAGGGACCATCCCCATCCCCAGGCCTGGCCGTTTGATAACCAGCTGAATCTCTTCCTCCTCACTACTACTACCACCACTAGAGTCTGAGCTCTCAGGCCTCCTGTGGGCCTTCTGTGCTGCTGGGGCCGAGCCTGGCCCTGGAGCTTTAGCTCTCTGGCCAGGGGATACAGAGTTCATGGGACCTGAGGAAGGGAGGCTGGGTCTGGGCTCGGAGGGGATGGTTTTGTCCCTAGGACCAGCGTCGGAGCCTGTGGTAGTAGGAGGAGTGGCAGCAGGCTTGGATAGAGGAGTTTGGTTTTTAACCGGAGGTTTGCCTGTGGTGGCTTTGCTAGAGGCATCGTCATCCGATGAGTCTGAGTCCGAATCGGATGACGAGGGAGGTGGGCGTGGTTTCTTATTGGGGGTTGGGGGTTTGACTATAGGGGTGACTTTTGGGGTGGCTTTAGATGCGACGGGGTGTGTAGAGGTAGCAGAGGGTGATTTGGGGGGTCGTTTCTGTGTGGGGTTTTTACTTGGGGCTTCCTCCTCACTACTGCTGCCACTGGAATCAGAACATGAGTCTGTTTCCCCATTCTGGGTCTTTGCTGTGGCTTTACCGTTAACAGATACTGCTGTGGCAGCTGGAGCCTTCTTGGTGTTTTTGTCCCCTTTGGCTATGGTGGGAGAGGGTCCTGTGGACGAGGTGGGAGAGGGTCCTGTGGATGAGGCAGTGGTTTTGGTCACCATCTTCTCCTCCTTTTTCTTCTTCTGTTTCTTCTTGTCTTCTTTGCTCCTCTCTTCAACCGCAGCCTGGTTGGAATCGGCCTCCTGACTCTCCTCGTTCTGTCTCTTCTTCTTCTTCTTCTTCTTTTTCCACTCTTCACTCACTTGGTTCTGTGTGGGCTCCTCCTCCTCCGCATCTCTCCTCCTCTTCTTCTTGGAGTTGACAGCAGATGTGTTGGACGGACTTCCATTCAAACGGGTTAGGATGTCCACCTTCACTCTGTCAAACAACACAACACGGAGGGTTGGAACGGTAGATATTCTCAAAGTACTAGGATGTGTGTGTGTGTGAAAACAGATATTGGCCTAGGCTAAGACCAGGCTTGGAGTGCAATCCCTCCATTGTTTTGTAGCTAGCCTATGTAGCTAGCTAGCTAGGCTGTATAACCAACCCATAGAAATATAATGAACCAACCACGTGGGTGAGATCACCTGACTGAGATCCTAATTAAAGTTTCAGCGCCATTAGCTCTGGTCCAAGGCGTTAGCGGAGGTTTAGAGCTAAGCGTGGATCAGACTGGATAAAAACATGTGTGGCTAGGATGTGTGTGACGCACCTGATGCTGTCGTTGTCTCGGACTACGTAGATCCTCTCTGTATGCGGCAGGTAGCAGTCTTCAATGAATAGACTCAAAATGCTCCTGCGACTGAAGTCGAACTTCTCCCTGATTATGCTGGCCAAGTCTGCTACCACACGGCATTTGTTCAAATCAACGAGCACCCAGCACATGCGACAGTCGGATACCGAAGGCGGCGGGTAATCAAAATACAATCGCACCCGTATCGTATTGGAGGCTGCCATTGCTGCTGTGTGGAAGGAAATCTCTCTCACGCGCTGTTCAGAAAACTATTTGCCTGCCTTTTTAAGAATTGACTCGTGTTTAGTTACTGCCACCTATTGGTGCGGAAGGGAATTTTCCCAGTCGGAGCTCGTTTTTCCCCCGAGTTGTCTTGAATGCATTGAAGTCTGATATTTCTGAGTTCCCAGTTGTTTTGAACAGTGAAATGCTTACTTACAGCCCTTTACCAACAGTGCATTTATTTTTAATAAAAAGGTAAAATAAAACAACAACAAAAAAGTGTTGAGAAAAAAAGAGCAGAAGTAAAATAAAATAACAGTAGGGAGGCTAACAAGTGGGGAGAACAAGTATTTGATACACTGCCGATTTTGCAGGTTTTCCTACTTACAAAGCATGTAGAGGTCTGTAATTTTTATCATAGGTACACTTCAACTGTGAGAGACGGAATCTAAAACAAAAATCCAGAAAATCACATTGTATGATTTTTAAGTAATTAATTTGCATTTTATTGCATGACATAAGTATTTGATCACCTACCAACCAGTAACAATTCCGGCTCTCACAGACCTGTTAGTTTTTCTTTAAGAAGCCCTCCTGTTCTCCACTCATTACCTGTATTAACTGCACCTGTTTGAACTCGTTACCTGTATAAAAGACACCTGTCCACACACTCAATCAAACAGACTCCAACCTCTCCACAACGGCCAAGACCAGAGAGCTGTGTAAGGACATCAGGGATAAAATTGTAGACCTGCACAAGGCTGGGATGGGCTACAGGACAATAGGCAAGCAGCTTGGTGAGAAGGCAACAACTGTTGGCGCAATTATTAGAAAATTGAAGAAGTTCAAGATGACGGTCAGTCACCCTCGGTCTGGGGCTCCATGCAAGATCTCACCTCGTGGGGCATCAATGATCATGAGGAAGGTGAGAGATCAGCCCAGAACTACACGGCAGGACCTGGTCAATGACCTGAAGAGAGCTGGGACCACAGTCTCAAAGAAAACCATTAGTAACACACTACGCCGTCATGGATTAAAATCCTGCAGCGCACGCAAGGTCCCCCTGCTCAAGCTTCCGTCTCTCACAGTTGAAGTGTACCTATGATAAAAATTACAGACCTCTACATGCTTTGTAAGTAGGAAAACCTGCAAAATCGGCAGTGTATCAAATACTTGTTCTCCCCACTGTATCAACGAATTGGCGAGGGCACTAGAACAGTCTGCAGCACCCGGCCTCACCCTACTAGAATCTGAAGTCAAATGTCTACTGTTTGGTGATGATCTGGTTATTCTGTCCCCAACCAAGGAGGACCTACAGCAGCACCTAGATCTTCTGCACAGATTCTGTCAGACTTGGGCCCTGACAGTAAATCTCAGTAAGACAAAAATAATGGTGTTCCAAAAAAGGTCCAGTTGCCAGGACCACAAATACAATCTAGACACCGTTGCCCTAGAGCACACAAAAAACTATACATACCTCAGCCTAAACATCAGCGCCACAGGTAACTTCCACAAAGCTGTGAACGATCTGAGAGACAAGGCAAGAAGGGCCTTCTATGCCACCAAAAGGAACATAAATTCAACATACCAATTAGGATCTGGTTAAAAATACTTGAATCAGTTATAGAACCCATTGCCCTTAATGGTTGTGAGGTCTGGGGTCCTCTCACCAACCAATAATTCACAAAATGGGACAAACGCCGAATTGAGACTCTGCATGCAGAATTCTGCAAAAATATCCTCAGTGTACAATGTAAAACACCAAATAATGCATGCAGAGCAGAATTAGGCCCATACCCGCTAATTATCAAAATCCAGAAAAGAGCCGTTAAATTCTACAACCACCTAAAAGGAAGCGATTCCCAAACCTTCCATAACAAAGCCATTACCTACAGAGAGATGAACCTGGAGAAGAGTCCCTTAAGCAAGCTGGTCCTGGGGCTCTGTTCACAAACAGAAACAGACCCCACAGAGCCCCAGGACAGCATCACAATTAGACCCAACCAAATCATGAGAAAACAAAAAGATAATTACTTGACACATTGGAAAGAATTTACAAAAAAACTGAGCAAACTATTTGAAATGTCTTTATTATTTTGGAACTTTTGTGAGTGTAATGTTTACTGTTAATTTTTTATTGTTTATTTCACTTTTGTTTATTATCTACTTCACTTGCTTTGGCAATGTAAACATATGTTTCCCATTCCAATAAAGCCCTTGAATTGAATTGAATTGAATTGAGAGAGAGAGAGAGAGAGAGAGAGAGAGATAGTTCACTTACCTTGTATTCGTTGTGGCCTTATATTTCTGCAGGAGGTCAAACGAGATAATCAAAATCAATCAATCAATACGTACCAGTCAATCAATCAAACCCACAGATCATGTGAACTTGGAGAGAGCAGTCTTGACTCCTGACCTGAAGGAATGAGATGTCATCTCGTCCCGGCTCCCGCTCCAGGGTTTGGATCCCATCAGTGAGTCTGAGGGTCGTCCCGGCTCCCGCTCCAGGGTTTGGATCCCATCAGTGAGTCTGAGGGTCGTCCCGGCTCCCGCTCCAGGGTTTGGATCCCATCAGTGAGTCTGAGGGTCGTCCCGGCTCCCGCTCCAGGGTTTGGATCCCATCAGTGAGTCCGAGGGTCGTCCCGGCTCCCGCTCCAGGGTTTGGATCCCATCAGTGAGTCTGAGGGTCGTCCCGGCTCCCGCTCCAGGGTTTGGATCCCATCAGTGAGTCTGAGGGTCGTCCCGGCTCCCGCTCCAGGGTTTGGATCCCATCAGTGAGTCTGAGGGTCGTCCCGGCTCCCGCTCCAGGGTTTGGATCCCATCAGTGAGTCTGAGGGTCGTCCCGGCTCCCGCTCCAGGGTTTGGATCCCATCAGTGAGTCCGAGTGTTTCTGTCCATCTCCTCTATCTTCTCTCGAATCCCCGTCATTTTCTGCTCAACCTCGTCCTTCAGGGCAGCGATCCTGACTGCATCCTCCTCGCTCAGGAACTGATGCAGCTTCTCAAACTCACCCATTATCTGCTGTGCAGTGTTCTGGGCCTGGCTCTGGAGACAGGGAGAAAACTGTTACCGACTTAAATGCCATAATAAAGCTACATCATTAATAAGTAAGCTACATAGAAAGCACTTATCTCACCACTACCACGAGGAATACTGACCAGGGCTTGGGGTCAGGAAGGGTACCTTCTAAGTCTTGTTGTGCATTAAGACAGGTCCCCAGCTTCCTCCATAGACTATTCAGGGCAGTCGCCAGTTCCTCCTGAAAATATAAATATTTATGTCAGTGGAGAGAGAGACTGTTTAACATTAACTAGCCACACTGAAACTGACAGTACAATGAAAAGTAGAGCTGTATGTTATGGTCGAGCCAGTGAATGTCTTTATGACCTGTATGTTATGGTAGAGCCAGTGAATGTCTTTATGACCTGTATGTTATGGTAGAGCCAGTGAATGTCTTTATGACCTGTATGTTATGGTAGAGCCAGTGAATGTCTTTATGACCTGTATGTTATGGTAGAGCCAGTGAATGTCTTCATGACCTGTATGTTATGGTAGAGCCAGTGAATGTCTTTATGACCTGTATGTTATGGTAGAGCCAGTGAATGTCTTCATGACCTGTATGTTATGGTAGAGCCAGTGAATGTCTTTATGACCTGTATGTTATGGTACAGCCAGTGAATGTCTTTATGACCTGTATGTTATGGTACAGCCAGTGAATGTCTTTATGACCTGTATGTTATGGTAGAGCCAGTGAATGTCTTTATGACCTGTATGTTATGGTAGAGCCAGTGAATGTCTTTATGACCTGTATGTTATGGTACAGCCAGTGAATGTCTTTATGACCTGTATGTTATGGTACAGCCAGTGAATGTCTTTATGACCTGTATGTTATGGTAGAGCCAGTGAATGTCTTTATGACCTGTATGTTATGGTAGAGCCAGTGAATGTCTTCATGACCTGTATGTTATGGTAGAGCCAGTGAATGTCTTTATGACCTGTATGTTATGGTAGAGCCAGTGAATGTCTTTATGACCTGTATGTTATGGTAGAGCCAGTGAATGTCTGTATGACCTGTATGTTATGGTAGAGCCAGTGAATGTCTTTATGACCTGTATGTTATGGTAGAGCCAGTGAATGTCTTTATGACCTGTATGTTATGGTAGAGCCAGTGAATGTCTTCATGCTACTGTACCTTGTACTAGGGATGTCAAACGTTCAGTCTGCTGCACAGACCCTCTGGACACTCAAGTTTAGAGCGCCGGCTTTAAATTGTGCTTTGGAGCATTTTTAAAGTCTCTCCATTGGTGACGCAACAGGTTGACTCGCAACCCGCAGTCCCCATGGTTATATCCGCGGGCGGGCGGGTTTAGGGTCATCAAATATTGTGTTCAATTCAATAAGAGAAAAGCTGCGAAATGGAGAGTTGAATATAAAGAGGAGGGCCAGAAAAGTCATGTTTGGGAAAGATTTGGTGAAGTGGTAAAAGAGGATGATAGCAGTGCCGGCTATGTTATGTGTGATGATTGTGAGGCTCTATACACATTCCACAGTCACAGGAGGCTGCAGGTCTACAACCTCTCACATAGCCTAAATATTAACTCCTGCTGAATTAAGCATTTGTTTCAGAAAATTGATACACCAAATGTAGGCTACATTTTTATTTGGAAACGGGAGTGGAGATATGATTTCTTTCTATTTATAAAAGCTGATAGTATTTCAACCATATAAAATATGCATCCAAGCCGAAATGAAATCAGAAACATGTTGGGTCGTTTTCACAGCTTTCTATTTTATTATCAGGTAAAAACGACTGAATGTGCCCCAAAAACGTGCTATGATTAATTGATTTCGATGATAGTCAAATCGTGAAAATATGTTTGTCCTGGTTACTTGTACTCTTGTGGAAATGGGGTCGCAGTCGTGTTTTTGGTGGTCTGACAAACAACACATATAGGTTTCTTGTCCTCCAGACAGAAGAGCCTGCTCCTTGTGAAGACTACAGACGACCTCAGAGCCAGATATGGCCTTCCTTCTCTCTAGTAGGAAGGTCTCGCTCAGGTTCTTGAGAGGCAGGTTACAGAAGGGTTCACCCGCTATTGAAGACCTTTTGCTGCCAACGGGACACTCCCGACCTTGCCTATGACTCCAGCTTTCTTCCACACAGGCTTTGCAGAAACTGTGGCTACACACCAGGACAACAGGATCTTTGAAGATGTCGAAGCAAACTGGACAGGTGAGGTCGTCTTCGGGGACAGATCTCTGGACGCCGTTTTTAGTAAACTAGTGTGCTGACTCGTCTGTCCTCTGTAGCTACGGCAACTATGGACTTAGTTACTTCCTTTCTTATATATTCTTTAACAATCTGGTTATTCCCCAAACTGTAATGTGAAGTTGCTGTTTGCCTTCCTTGTTTTGGATTGTTTCAAACGTTGCGACTTCCCGGTCTGTTTAAAAAACAAACGCTCTGACTAGAAGCCGTAGCCGGATGTTGAAGAATTTAAAAACGTTAGAGTTTAATGGCTGTGATAGGAGAAAATTGAGGATGGATCAACAACATTGTAGTTACTCCACAATACTAAGCTAAATGACAGAGTGAAAAGAAGGAAGCCTGTACAGAATACAAATATTCCAAAACATCCTGTTTGCAATAAGGCATTAAAGTAAAACTGCAAAGAAATAGATGACAGATCTCATTCCTTCAGGTCACGAGTCAAGACTGCTGACTCTGACTGCTCAAGACTGCTGACTCTTCACATGATTTGGGGGATTTATTGATTGATTAATTAATTTGATTCCCTCATGACCTCCGGCAGAAGTATAATACCATGACTGCGTTCTTATGACTTGATAAATACATGTATTTTTCTTGGTCAATCTTCTGTTTATACCTCTCCCGTGTTCCGTGTCTTTTAATTTGGAAAATTCACAGGACATTTTGCCCTGGACTTTTATTTTGACACAATTGAAGGTGGAGGGTGGGCGTGGCTAGCTCCACAATGCTCATTGATTGGCTCTAAAGGCCTATTTTCCACGTTCTGGTCAGCTGAGGATTAGGTAAATCATGTGACTAAAGTCTGACATGTGACTAAAGTCTGACATGTGACGATAGTGTGACATGAGACGATAGTGTGAAGAGAAGTGTCGCTTTGTGAAGTTCTTGTGAACAAGTCGGGATGATGGGGCTGACAAAAACACGCTCTTGCAGCGTTGTGTTGCTGCTTATCGGGGCAATTGATACAGGTAAGTAGTTAGCTATGTGAAGTGATTGTGTCCGATATATCGGTGTTTCAATAACTGTTAAATTCCAATTTGAATACTAACTGCGCCGACATCCAAGCATGCTTGAAATCACGACGGTGACTCCAGAGTTTAGTCCGCTAAGTACGGTGACTCAGACTCCAGCAATCAAATTGGTCAAATCCACACATTTGCTTTGCTTGTTCGGGTTTCATGTCTGCGAATCTTGCTTCCTGATAAATGTGAAAGCAAAAGTTGGCTAACTACAATGTTGACGTTTTCCTGGGATCAGAAACCCCCCATAGCGCTATTCCACAACATCTGCTGCAAGCAGTCAGGGGTGGGGATTTTGTCATTGGACTGCATTTAAGACCAATCGCAGAATTTTTAATAACGCCGTTTCAATGTCTCCAAATCTCAACTCTTGTATGCAGCGTTCTCGAATCCCTTACAATCTAAAGAATCCTGGGGCTATGTTGACGTGCGCGAGGGGGCACATATGTTCTGGTGGCTCTACAACGCTGACAGCCCGTCCGCCAGCTACTCCCAGCTGCCTCTGGTGATGTGGCTGCAGGTGAGGAACCTTACACTACTCTCTTACCTATCTACAAGTGGGTAACCTTACACCACAGGAGGTTGGTGCCACCTTAATTGGGGAGGGCAGGCTAATGATAACGATAACTCCATAACTCCTTTCTGGCCATTATTATGAGCCGTCCTCCCGTCAGCAGCCTCCTGTGCCAAACACTATAACACTGTCTTACCTATCTAGGATAGATGGATGGATGCTGATGTATCTTGACTCTTGCAGGGGGAGGAAGGGATGGATGGATGATGCATCTCTAATAGTGGTATGTGTCTCTCCATTCCAGGGCGGCCCGGGAGGATCAGGCTGTGGCTTTGGGAACTTTGAAGAGATCGGACCCCTGGATAGAGACCTTGGGCCTAGGAAAACCTCCTGGGTAAACCTCACACACACACACACACACGGCTCATCAATGAAAACTGGATGTCAGTGTTTAAGGTGTGTGTGTTTGTTTTGCCCCTGCAGGTCCAGTACTCGAGTGTATTGTTTGTTGATAACCCGGTAGGAACAGGCTTCAGCTATACGGACACAGACAAGGCCTTCGCTACTGACGTGGCTACTGTCGCCTCCGACATGCTGGTGCTGCTCAAACACTTCTTCGACAAGAAGGAAGAGTTCCAGGTGGGTTCAGCTTCACACAGGTTGGATCACCAGAAGTGAGTTCAGAATGGTGTTCAACTTTTAATTCAGTGGAAACGATAGTGTACTGAATGACCAGTTGAAGAACGGTGTGATTTATGGTGGCACAGAGGGAGATTGTGTATGGCAGGGGTTAAAGTTCTCGTCACTGCAACGGATTTCCTTCATATGGATGACGCGGGAGGTTTTGAGTAAAAACAAAATATAATAAAACAAATTGGGGATGGGGGGGATTAATTTCCAGGCAGACTACCAACTTTTATTTCCTCACGTGTTTTGCGCTCGCTCATTCCACCCACACTGCCACTCAGCCAGGCAGGTACAGAACTGACTGGTTAGGTGCTGCCAAACGTGACATCAATAGCTAAAATGCCAGGCAAATGTAGATTTAATTGTTTGTGCGTATTCAACAACTTTTATTTCAGCTCATGAAACATGGGACCAACACTTTACATGTTGCGTTTTATATTTTTGTTCAGTATAGTTTACCCACCTTTTTTTTCACCACTACATCACTGGACCCAACCAACACAAACTGTGTAAGGAGCCAAAAATGCGTCAGACTTTGACATTGTGAGCATGAGAGAATTGGCCCTGAAGAGACCCATGAAGGGGGAAAGACTCTGCGCTGACGCCACTTTTACATGTGACTTCTTCTCTGCAACAACCTCCAGAGCTTTTTTTGCCAATCGCCTCATTCACAGGTCGCCCGCGATATTCCGCTTTATCAAGCGTCAGCCTTGCTCCTGCCATTCTGATGGCCGTTCACATACCGTTTTCCTCACACAGCCAACCCCTCTTTCTCCCGACTGGCACACTAAAGCTGCCAGTCAGAAGCAAGATGCTTTTTCGTAGTAACACAGTCATTAAGCTGGAATTGTGTAGTAATGCAAATAGGAAATGTTATTCACCAGTAGGCATGTCCCAAAACTCTGCTCATCACTACTGAAATGACTAAATCATCAGTACTGACTCACCACTCATGTATTTAGTAAATAATTAGTGAAACAACGTATTATTGAGTAGAACTTGTCAGGTAGTGATGAATACTAAGTTATTTTTTCCATTAGGTTGTGGAGATATATACTGCCATCTGGTGTCAACTAGAAACAGGTGCACTATTACAAATTGATGGTCCTTGAAAATAGATATTAGTGCTTGAAAATGTACTTGGAAAAGGTCCTTGAATTTGAATTGCCACTGTCTGTACGAACCCTGTCAAACCAACTTTGCCTCACATTGGCCAAATAATTTGTCTAACTCTTTCCACCAGCGAACACGCACGACACCCGCATCAAACCACACCCTGAAACCAATTCGCGTTTGAATTCAGTCATGGCTGCTAGCATTTCTTAAAGAACCGAATTTTAAAACGAGGCTGAATCAGGAAGTGCAGTCGCCCTTTAAATTATAGTCATGCGAAAAACATTTTTTTTCTCTTGCTTTAACCGCTGTGTATGCTGCACAAGTTTTGTGATTTCAAATGGTCACACCCATATTGATCAGGCCACACCCACCAAACGGGAGAAAACGTACCTCAAAGGCTGTTGAAGAGCAGTGCGCTCCGTTTTGGGTAAACTTGTCATTCGGTACAAACCATCACACAAATGTTTAACCAAACTGAACGCACCCCAGGAGTCTCCTTTAGGGAGGGAGGGAGGGAAGGAAGGAAGGATGTATTTAAAAGTATTGGAACACGGCACCTATGGCTCAAACTTCTCAATGCATTTAAAACATTTTTTTAATTTTGTCTTCTCTAGAGTGTGCCCTTCTACATATTCTCTGAGTCCTATGGAGGGAAGATGGCTGCTGTGATCTCACTGGAACTCACTAAGGTAGGCACAAATTACGTCCCCAATGGCATCCTGTTCTCACTATATAGTGTATACGGGCCCTGGTCAAAAGTAGTGCACTGTCATGGGAATAGGGTACAAACCTACTGTCCTGTCTCTGCTGTGGGAAACCTTTTCCAGTTCTAGTACTTTGGTATGTAAGTGAATAGGAACCATGCATGGAAAAACTGGTAGATCAATGGTGTCTGACTCGGTAATGGAACAGGGTTTTCAAAACGAAAGACTTAAGGTTCACTGTCGTGTGTTGAGCAATGCATGACGTAGACAGGAACTAATGACTCGTGCTAAGTTGGGGCCTACTTCCTCAAATCTCTACCCACACTGGTCAGCACTGGTCACCATGGGTTCCTGTGTCTTTTTGGCTGTTTCTGTCTCTCTCAATTCAATATACTTTATTGACATTTGAAGTGTTATGACTTTTGGCTTGGGATATTCAAGATTTTACTGATTTTATTTACTGTAATAATTAATTGATCTGATTTTTATTAATTTGTTATCCTATCCAAATTAATCTGATACCATTTAAGGGTTGGATTGGAGATCCTTGAATTAATTATATCAGTAGTTATCATTAGCTGGGTAATATGAACCAGTCGGCAATCGTACTGCGACGCTCCAGCAGATGCTGTGGAAGGGGTGCTAGTGTTGGCCTCTGTCACCACGACCTCACCGTGCTCTTGGTAATAATGCCATAACGACTATGTGCAGATGATACAGACATAACAGTATGAATTAGCACAAGGTGATGAATACAGAGCCTAAGCATGCACGTGCTCCCATAAAAGAAATATCGGCAGCCATCCCATAATGCAATACTGTGTGCAGATAAAAAGCAAAGATCTCAGCTAACACCTGAATGTGCGAGCATTCACCACAGCATTAAGTTGCAGCATGAAACACATGAAGAACTAGTATGTAAGACATGAAGATAACAGATGCAGCAGAGATGAATTACAGAGCTAAAACATGACTAGGATGAAGTAATCACTACAATACATTTACATTACATTTTAGTCATTTAGCAGACGCACTTATCCAGAGCGACTTACAGGAGCAATTAGGGTTAAGTGCCTTGCTCAAGGGCACATCGACAGATGTTTCACCTAGTCGGCTCGGGGATTAGAACCAGCTACCTTTCGGTTACTGGCACAACGCTCTTAACCACTAAGCTACCCGCCGCCCCAATACGTACCATACAATAGCATATGTTAAGAGATATATATATATATATATTAGTCACTATGCTGTCACTAGAATAACACTACAAGACGTAAGATGGGTAGTCCCTCCCAGTCGGTCTATGTCAAATGAATGATGCGTGATAGAAACGTGGGCTCATTCGTTCAACGGGCGTGGCCTCGCCTCGAAGGAACTTGATCTGACGTCTGTTAGCTGGTCCTGTAATCTATAGGGATACTCAGAGGGCGGGCTCTAGTAGCTCTGACAGCGTGGCACGGAAACGCCCCGTTGATTCTGAGAACCCCGAAAAATTAAAGTTAATATGAGGATAAAACCTGAGATTTCCTCGTAAGTGTCCACAACATATTTTTCTTGTACAGACGTTTCATCATCTCTGACATGAAATACATAGCCTGTAGTGCGTACATTCATGTTACAGCAAAATGCCCGTTATGCTTCTTTTATGACCATAGGAGGATCAGAAGAGAAATATCACATTGCTTCAAGTTATATCAACATGTCTTTCAGTTTAATACAGTGTTTAAGAAAACGTGTTTCATTTTGCGCTATTGGCGACATTTTCTCTTTGTTACGAAAAATGGGAAGAAAAAGTCCCCGACTTTCTCTCTATCAATACACATCTCTTGGCTCTCAAGCCTGGCTGGTCGTTTCCCCAGTAACCAGATCACAAGGCGTCCTGCTGACTGACTGTCCTCTGACCTCCTCAGGCCATTCAGAGTCGTAAAGGTAGAGCTGTTTCCTTTGTCTTGTGATAGCCTTGAAAGGGGCGCCGTCAAATACAAAACTGTAAGTCTTGGCCTCACCACCACTTCATGGGCTCTCGTCACCACAAAAGTAAAACCCTTCCATTGTCAAAGTAGACGCATTACAACGATGGTCAAATATAATTATGTTATTAGTGGTAATAATATTAACAGCAATTACAATAAATAATAATAATGGGATAAAATTAGTGCTGGTACCAGTTGTAATATGACTTCTAGTAATGGCATGTTAATGACTAGTAATGACATGGCGCTCTGCTATTCTAACATATGTCTCTCTATAGGCTGTAGAAAAAGGAACCGTGAAATGTAACTTTGCTGGAGTGGCTCTGGGGGACTCTTGGATCTCTCCACTGGGTCAGTATTTACCTCGGAGCACAGAACATCAGAACATCCAGTTAGAACATAAACTCATAAAACATTCAGTACACGGCTCTTTAAAAGTCAGAACACTCTTTACAACACTTTTTATTGGACCAAAAGTCTACTCTAACCCCTCTCTAACCCTTAAACACTTCAGGTTCACTGAAGACTGGTACTGTATCCCAAATTGCATCCTATTCCCTATATAGTGCACTACTTACGACAAGATCCCTATGGGGCCCTGGTCAACAGTAGTGTTCTAAAGGGAATAGGGTGCCATTTGGTACACAGCTGTTGTTCCCTGTGTGGTCACATGACTGACTGAACAAACAGGTTTACCTACCGCTGCAGTTTTCTCCTCTTGTAAAACCTTGCATCCACAGTTTCATGCATGAGGGGGGTTGTTGTACTGTTCTAACACCCCCCCTCATGCAGAGTCACCAGGGGTGTGTTCATAAGTGCACACCGTAGCAAACTGTTTTGTAACGTAAACAAGCATTTCTTTATTGGAGAAGTTCAGGTATGTCCCTCTCGGTTTCAGCCCGTTTGCTTCTGCTTGGTTCCACCCCTGGCTAGCTAACCAGTGTGTTCCCTACTGACTGTATAATCCTGGGTAGTTTCCAGTATTGTATTGCACACTGTATTGGACAAGTCCAGGTAGTCCCTCCCTTTTTCATTGGGGTTTTGTCCCATTCGGTGCCTAATGAACCGCAAACGTTCTTCTCCTCTGTTTCTCTGCAGACTCTGTTATGACCTGGGGACCTTATCTTTACACCACGGTGAGTCTCACACACACAGCCTAGTAAAATGTGTTTTCTATGTTTTTAAGTTTTTTTATTTTACAGACACATTTGCTTTGTTTTGGAAGATGTGATGGATTTTGCATTCTATGCGGTTCTTTCTGCAGACTGGGTGGTTTTAAAGTCTGGAGAATACAAAATGGAGCTGGTTTTGTAGTCCCCTGTAGCTCAGTTGGTAGAACATGGCGCTTGCAGCGCCAGGGTTGTGGGTTGGTTTCCCACGGGGGGGCCAGTATGAAAAATGTATGCACTCACTAACTGTAAGTCGCTCTGGATAAGAGCGTCTGCTAAATGACTAAAATGTAAAAATGTTTTGGTACCTAGGCATGCTGGGGATTGTAGTTTTACATTGACATTTTAGTCATTTAGCAGATGCTCTTATCAAATCAAATTTTATTTGTCACATACACGTGTTTAGCAGATGTTATTGCGGGTGTAGCGAAATGCTTGTGCTTCTAGGTCCGACAGTGTAGTAATATCTAACAATTTCACAGCATATACCCAATACACACAAAACTAGTAAGGAATGGGATTTAAGAATATATACATTTATGGACAAGCAATGACAGAGTGGCATGGACTAAGATACAGTAGAATATTATAGAATACAGTATATACATATGAGATGAGTAGTGCAAGATATGTAAACATTATTAAAGTGACTAGTGTTCCATTTCTTTAAGTGGTCAGTGATTTCAATAGGCAGCAGCAGCCTCTAATGTGCTAGTGATGGCTATTTAACAGTCTGATGGCCTTGAGATAGAAGCTGTTTTTCCATTCTCTCGGTCCCAGCTTATGTAAGTGCATACATTTTCATATTTGTTCGTACTGGTCCCCCATGGGAATCGAACCCACAACCCTGCCGTTGCAAGTGCAACGCTCTACCAACTGAGCCACACGGGACTGTCTCCCATTGCCCTCCACTCTCCAATCCCTGTTAGATGGCTACGGCCTGGGGGGAAGTGAACAATGATGCATTTTGGGTAGTGTAGTTCTCTGACTGTGTCCCCATTGCCTCCACTCTGCAGTCCCTGGGCGCGCTTGAGTGGTAAGGCTAAAGCAATTGACTGTAGACAAGTCTGGGGAGGTGCATCTGCGACAGCCGAAAGTCGGACACTAATGTGGTTTTCCAATCGCAAGGCTCGGATCAACATGGCAATGTTGCCATTGTTCATACAAGTTTTTCTTTATAATGTTAAAATAAACAACCCCCATATCACACCCTCACAAACTGAAATCATGTGTGTAGATTGTACAATCAGTTATTGAGAGCCTCAAATATCACATTAATTTGTATACCCACTGAATACATGAATCGCGTTAAAGTTGCTTCCTGTTTCCGTCATGTCTTTGGTCACGTTCGCGTAGGTCAAACAAAAACACCCTAATGATTGGTTGACAATAGAGCCTTCCACAATGGAGGAAATGGCTGCAGGATGAAATTGGTGAAAACTTGCCTTCAAAACTTAATGACCTTTTGATCACATGATTTTGTTGTAAAGTTCATGCAGTCGACATGTAGGCGTAAGTCGATTTTTCTTAATCCCCATAATGCAACACACACACTTTGAAAGGCAGTGATCAACGATGGTCACTGACTTGACAAAAGTGATCCGCTTGAACGCGCCCCCCTGCTAGATGACTTAAGGCCTGGGGGAGGTGAACAGTGATGCATGTTGGGTAATGTAGTTGTTCTCTGACCGTCTCCCCATTGTCCTCCATTCTTCAGTCCCTGCTAGATGACTATGGCCTGGGGGAGGTGAACAGTGCAGCGGAGGCGGTGAAGCAGGCGGTGGATCAGGGGCAGTACCTGAAGGCCACAGAGCTCTGGTCTGTCACTGAGAGTGTTGTGGAACAGGTCAGTGGTGTGTGTTGGTGTGAATCACTGAGTGTTGTGGAACAGGTCAGTGGTGTGTGTTGGTGTGAATCACTGAGGGTGGTGTGTGTTTGTGTGAATGCCATGGTCATCAGAGCATCCTTTCAGCTCCTGTCTGATTTCAGAACACAAATGGAGTCAACTTCTACAACATCCTCACCCAGGAACCTGATGACAAGATGACCTCCGTGGCTGGAGAAGGATACCTCTGTAAGATGCCTTTTCAGATCAGTCTTTAAACAAGAAAAAAATGGGGTGAAATGTCTTTCTAGTTATAATTAGGTTAAGGTTTATTTGAACATCCTGGTACATATATGCAGAAACATACATAAAATGTGATGTCATACAATATTTAAAACACTGGTAAAAAGTTTTGTTACAAATATATACTGTCTGTGGGAAAAATGCTCCTTACTAGCCTGAAAAATACATTCCTGAGATTACACCATCACTTCCTGTTTGTTGGTGTACTTTCCGTGGTCCCTCCCACAGCCCTGCTGATGCGCCGTCACATTCGCCCCCTCCACCGCCAATCACTGAGCCAGTTGATGAACGGGCCAATCAGGAAGAAGCTGGGAATCATCCCTCAGAACGTCACCTGGGGAGGTAAGACACTGCTACTGGGTCAAAAATGGATTCATTTAAAAAGTGCTTCTTTTTTTAAAAGCTGTAATATGTCACTTTTTGGGCAACCCGACCAAATTCACATAGAAATGTGAGTTATAAATCTGTCATTCTCATTGAAAGCAAGTCTAAGAAGCGGTAGATCTGTTCTATGTGTGTCATCTCTATGCTTTCCGTTTCTGAAATTTCATTTTTGTGTCTTACCTTCGGTTTTGTACACCAGCTTCAAACAGCTGAAAATACATTATTTTTGCTTATAGAAAATCTATTTCACAGTGGTTTAGATCGTACAAATGGCGTAGCGGTTTCTGCATATTGCACCTTTTAAAAATAAATGTGCCCTCCACACTCTCACACCTTTTCTCTCCTCTCTGACCTCACACTCATCTATCTCTCTCTTTTAATCTCCCTCTCCACTTCTCAATCTCTCACCCTCTCTCTCACTTTCTCCCTCTTACCCCCGTCTCTCTCCCCCCTCTAGGTCAGGCTGATGCAGTGTTCAGCAGCATGTCAGGTGACTTCATGAAACCAGTGGTGGACGTGGTGGATCAGCTGTTGGATGCTGGGGTCAACGTCACCGTCTACAACGGACAGCTAGACCTCATAGTGGACACCATGGGTCAGTAATTCCCCTAGCTACAGTTGTTTACAGGCTGGCCACAGAATCAGCATTCAACACTTACATTTTGTAGTGAAATCAGTTGAAGCCAAAACAGTGTAGACTGGGGGGGGGTGATGGGGGGGGGGGGGTCTGGACAGGGCTGATGTGGTGGGGGGGGGGTCTGGACAGGGCTGATGTGGGGTGGGGGGGGGGGGTCTGGACAGGGCTGATGTGGGGTGGGGGGGGGGGGGTCTGGACAGGGCTGATGTGGGGTGGGGGGGGGGGGGTCTGGACAGGGCTGATGTGGGTGGGTGGGGGGGTCTGGACAGGGGTGATGTGGGGTGGGTGGGGGGTCTGGACAGGGTGATGTGGGGTGGGGGGGGGGGTCTGGACAGGGCTGATGTGGGGTGGGTGGGGGGGTCTGGACAGGGGTGATGTGGGGTGGGTGGGGGGGTCTGGACAGGGGTGACGTGGGGGGGTCTGGACAGTGGTGACGTGGTGGGGGGGGTCTGGACAGGGCTGATGTGGGGGTGGGGGGTGTCTGGACAGGGGTGATGTGGGGGGGTCTGGACATGGTGACGTGGTGGGGGGGGGTCTGGACAGGGGTGATGTGGGGGGGGGGGGGGTCTGGACAGGGCTGATGTGGGGTGGGGGGGGATCTGCACGAATTAGATTAGCACTCATGGTCTTCTTAATGAAACTGTTTTTTGACAGTATGGAGCTCGATATACCAAGGAGGAGTTTAGAACAGAGGAACTCCCTCAAACTGTTATTCCACAGGCTGGGTTCCACAGGCTGGGTTCCACACTATGCATCTGTTGCAAAATCCCTTTTTTTTTTTTTTTTTTTTTTTTTACTGGCTGTCCATTGGTCTCAAAAAAACAATGATTGATAGGCAGCTTAAACGTCTTCAGTTCAACCATTATTGGGTTAAAATACACATACATTTGTGAACAGCCATCCACATCAACCACAATCAGTATGGCGCAAATAGCTAAATGACAGAGCAGCAGTGTGATTGACATCAATGCGCTATGTAGATATCATTAATAAGTGATATCTGTAGGCTACACCACTGCTGTCATCCTTACCTCCAAGTGTTTATCCAAGTTGGCTGTATTTTTTAAATTATTTGTTTTATTTAACCAGGTAGGCCAGTTGAGAACAAGTTCTCATTTACAACTGCGACCTTTGCCAAGATAAAGCAAAGCAGTGCGATTAAAAACAACAACACAGAGTTACATATGGGGTAAAACAAAACATAAAGTCAAAAATACAACAGAAAATATATATACAGTGTGTGCAAATGTAGCAAGTTATGGAGGTAAGGCAATAAATAGGCTATAGTGCAAAATAGTTACAATTAGTATTAACACTGGAGTGATAGATGTGCAAAAGATGATGTGCAAATGAGCAAAATAAATAACAATATGGGGATGAGGTAGTTGGGTGGGCTAATTTCAGAAGGGCTGTGTACAGGTGCAGTGATCGGTAAGCTGCTCTGACAACTGATGCTTAAAGTTAGTGAGGGAGATAAGAGTCTCCAGCTTCAGAGATTTTTGCAGTTTGTTCCAGTCATTGGCAGCAGAGAACTGGAAGGAATGATAATATGATCTTTGGATGCCGACAGCAGTCGCACCATTGGAAGACATAGCTTGGACTGTAGCCTACAAAAGCCTATTCCTGCTCTTTTCTAGAGATCCATCAAACACATTTGGTGTGTCATCATAGAGGTCTCTGATTGGTGGTCATCATTTGGTGTGTCATCATAGAGGTCTCTGATTGGTGGTCATCATTTGGTGTGTCATCATAGAGGTCTCTGATTGGTGGTCATCATTTGGTGTGTCATCATAGAGGTCTCTGATTGGTGGTCATCATTTGGTGTGTCATCATAGAGGTCTCTGATTGGTGGTCATCATTTGGTGTGTCATCATAGAGGTCTCTGATTGGTGGTCAGATTCACTCAGGTGGAACAAACTTAAACTTGTGCCTTTTTTCAATGTTGAGAAAACAGAAAGGTGTCAAACATCCTTTCTGAAAGTCCTCCAATAAGATCTAGTGTTTCTATCTGTAATCTGATTACAATATTTTAGCTCGGAACGGATTAGTTAGTTTTTTCATAGTCCGTTATATTTCATCCGTTACTCCCCAACCCTGGCTATAGTGCAGTCAACCATTTACCAATATTACCATTAATACATTGACTATTGGTCCCTGATAGACATTCATACATGAGGATTGTTGATTGCATACAGATTATCAATTGATTACTCATCACTGATTGTCCAATCACAGGTCAGGAGCAATGGGTGAAGCAGTTGAAGTGGGTGGGGCTCCAGAGCTTCAGCCAAATGAGATGGACGGCCATGGATGACCCCGCCTTCCCGGGTGTAACCGGTGCCTTCTACAAGACATACAAGAACTTCTCTTTCTACTGGATCCTCAAGGCTGGACACATGGTGAGGAAACCGAAACTTGTGTCCCAATAATGGGATTTTATTTTTGACATATATTTATTCGCTTTTCAAACGGGACAATCATCAGAGTTGGTACAGTAATACTAAACTCTCCTTTCTCCCAAAGTGGGACATGGTTTACTTCCCTTCATGGATTTGAAACAAAATGACTGCTATATGGAAACTTCCTCTATAGCCCATGCCTACATCAATCCAATGTTTTTACATTTACATTTTAGTCATTTAGCAGACGCTCTTATCCAGAGCGACTTACAGTTAGTGAGTGTATACATTTTCATACTGTCCCCCCGTGGGAAACGAACCCACAACCCTGGCGTTGCAAGCGCCATGCTCTACCAACTGAGCTATATTTGTGGAGAGTAGTGAACGAGTGCATACTTCAGAAGGGAGAGATTATTGGAACGCGACCACAGTGTTGGAGTAGGAAGACGATGCAGAAGATTGAAACCCAGTAGGCAGCCATTATGGCCCAGTAGTGTTTCATTGGGAATATCTCAATTGTATACTCTTCACGTCCTCTCTCCTCGTCTCCTTCTCAAAACCCATTGGAGGAGAAGGTAAGAAGGAAGGGACCTGGCTTTCTCATCCAATGGGTTTTGAAGAGGAGACGAGGAGGAGTATGCAATTGAGATCCTCCCGTAGTATTATTTTTGTCTTGCACTCCCATGATGCATTGCTCTCGGTCTCTGTTATCAGATCCCCTCGGACCAGGGACCCATGGCACTGCAGATGCTGAAGATGATCACACAGCAGGACTAACACACACCATAACACACACACTCCATAACACACACTAGAGCTGGACGATATAAGGGAAAGAAATCCAGATTGTGATCAATTTAAATTTTTGTATAAATCAAATCAAATTTTATTTGTCACATGCACGTGTTTAGCAGATGTTATTGCGGGTGTAGCGAAATGCTTGTGCTTCTAGCTCCGACAGTGCAGTAATATCTAACAAGTAATATCTAACAATTTCACAACATATACCCAATACACACAAATCTAGTAAGGAATGGAATTTAAGAATATATACATATATGGACAAGCAATGACAGAGCAGCATGGACTATATCTTCTTTTGAAATCATGATAAATCGGCGATTCATTATTTTTTGGGGGGGAGGTGCTAAAGCCGGGCGACATGGACTAAAAGTCCTATCGTGATAAATGTAACTATTTAATAAAAAGCAAATGGTTTAATGGTTAGTTACTTTACATTAGCTAAGCGCTAATAAGTACGTCTTCTATAAGATAAGAGCGTCTGCTGAATGACGCTCCAGACAATTTCACAGTGCCAAGAAAACTGAGATGGTAGCCTGTGATTCAAAAAGTAAGCTATTTCATCCAGGAAATGCATGATTTATATGCAACCTGTCAAAAGGATCCAGAATGATCAGATTTATTTTGGCCTCTTCAGACAATTTGTGCATCTTTGTGCATATTGGCCTCTAGGCTATATTAGTCACCACCTGAGGAAGTGGGACTCAAAACACTTAGCTAGATTAATAACTGTAGGTATGATATTGTTGCTAGGTAACCATGTAGGCTAATTGATTAATCTATCAGTAAATGTAATGTCCTTACAAAGACTTTCCAGCTCACTTGATGTGGGCCTATTGACTGCAAACGGTGCGCTCCGCGAGAAGGGTGTAATTTCGGTCCGCAGTTCGGGGCGGTCCTGCATCTGCACCCTTCTTTGTATTTCTATTGGTCCATTTTTAAGCTAGGACTCTGATACACAGGCGGGAGGCGGGGGTGAGCCAGTTCAGTAGGGGGCGGTAATGCACCATAACGTTGGATGCCAACCGCCGATAAACCCCACCTTCGCCCTCGCTTTCTCGCAGGTCTGTTAACGACGTCGAGGGCAGGTGTTCGGCAGGCGGTGTGCTAGCTAGCTAGGAGTGGATTCCGGTAGACAGAATGCGAGAGGCGGTGGTGACACTGGTTGGTAGCTAGCTAGCTAGGACACCGGTACACAGTTTCCTTCGCCCCCGAAAAACTCATCATACTTTTTATTTCCCTTTTGATCCACATTTTAATCGCATATACAGTCAGGCGAAATCCAGAATATCAAGTGTCCCACAAGCATGACGATCAAGGCTAACCTACTATATGAAGTGGTTATTTATGTGTTCATGCCACATTTAAAAAGGTAATACATTTTTACTGTTAAATTACATGTCTTTACACATAGGAGGTCCCGTGAAGTAAAAAAATAAGTGCCCCCCTATGGAAATCAAATGCCTGTCCAACTGACTCGTCCTGGCGCTGGCCCTGAGGGACAGGCAGAGACTTTCATAGCAGGTATCAATATAATGCATAGGCTATAGTACTGCTGACCAATTCATGGTTTTAGAACAATCCACACGAATGTTGTAAAGCAAAATCATTGAAAATGTATGCTAAATAATTTTCGGTTTATCGTCCCAGCTCTAGCGCGCACACACACACACTGATGCCAGCTGGAATGGCTCTCCTCCGTCAGATTTAAGGCAATCAGGAAGAATAACCAAATATCACCGACTGCTCAGTCCAGCATCATAAATATATATACTGTACGATTATACACCACAAAATCTGCTTCTATACTGGTGCACTATATAGGGAATAGGATGCCATTTCAGATTGTGCACTATATAGGGAATAGGGTGCCATGTGTCCAAAGAAGTGGACTAGATGGGGAATAGGGTGCCATTTTAGTGGCCCTATATCAGTGTTCAGCTCTCCCTCTTGGCCATTGCAGGGGTCGCTCTGGTCCAGGGTGTTTTTCGGCTGCTCTCTCACTATAGGAAAACAATAGAGCGCCGAACGACACCCTGGACCAGAGCTACTACAGGGGATATGGACTGGTACTCGAGATCTGTTGATTTAACTGATACATTTTCATTGTAAATTTGAGTGTGAGAACAATAAAATAAAATGTAGTTTTTTTTCTAAATAGTGTGCCTGCTGGAACGCTTTGGTGGAGATTTGTTGACTAATATATGAAACTAAGTCTTGATTCTTTCATACATTACATTTCTAAAATGTCCCCTTGTTGTTTTGTCAAACCAAACTCGGTCAGAAAGAGATCATACTCTGTCAGACATTCAGTAACCAACATGGAATGCTGTAGTGGAAATGTTTTGACTCAAACAACATTTATTTTTAATATCTTTATTGATGCTTCAATTCATATAGCATGTGGTCAGTATTCTCTTTACAGGGGAATAGAAAACCTCAACTCAATCCATCAGAAGTTGTGAAGTAAAAATGCCATAAATATGCTGTTGGGGTAAAGCAAGGATCCTGCTTTCCAGAGTTCAAAACTATTCAAAACAAAAGTCCTAATCCTCATGTAAAAAAGTTTAACCATATACAGCAAAGCATAGCGTCTCATAGAAAGAGGACAGATCTTCAATTGGTTTTGGTCGCCTAATCTTAAAAAAAGGTTTAAGGTGATAGGGGAGGAGAGGACACGGAAACAAATGCGCTTGTATGAAATGACTCCTTCTGCACTCGCACGCCATCAGGCAAATTATGTTTACAGGGGTGGAATCCCAAAATAAATGTAGCTAGTTTTCTAGATAAAAGGATACGTAGCGTATAGTTTTAACGTGCATGCTTTTCTCCTTTGAGAAAACAACAAAAGGGGGTGTGGCTGCCGCGAGGAAACTGGTGCATCCTCTGTCGAAATCTGTAATGGAGGAGGGGAGCAGCCTCTTTCGTTCTCCTAACAACTTGACACTGTCCTCGACCACTTATCAGTTTCCGGGTCACGGAGGAGTCGTGGAGAGGAAGGTCTTTTTCCCAATTGGGAATCTCCCTATGTACTGGGAATCCTGCTTGCTCTCCCTCACTCTCACCTGTCCAGTCCTGCTTGCTCTCCCTCACTCTCACCTGTCCAGTCCTGCTTGCTCTCCCTCACTCACCTGTCCAGTCCTGCTTGCTCTCCTCACTCTCACCTGTCCAGTCCTGCTTGCTCTCCTCACTCTCACCTGTCCAGTCCTGCTTGCTCTCCGAGTAGAGACTGAAGGCCCGGATTCAAGCTGTGGCACGTTGTAGAGCGCTCAACAATGCACCTTTTAAAGGCAATGTCCCTGCATCTGCTCAGATTGCATTCACAGTAAAGGCTGCAGATGTCGGCTCAATCAGGAATTACGTACAGCGCGCTTCATATTGAATTCTGGCCTAGGCTTCTCTAATGCCGAGTTTCCCTAATGGTTCTGGGATTTAAAAAAAAATACTTTCTTGACTAGAAAAAATGGTTCTCTATAGGTGACTAGGAGGATCACATCACTACAACTGAATCAGTTTATCACTGATTGGACAGGAGACAGGAAGCGTTTTGGAAAGGAAGAGGAGTAGCAAGTCCAGTAGTGCGTCCCAAATAGCACCCTATTCCCTATATAGTGCGCTACTTTTCACCGGGGCCCATAGAGCTCTGGCCAAAGTAGTGCATTATATAGGGAACAGGGTGCCATTTGGGGCAGCCAAATGTTGCTACCCTTCTAGTCTCTTATGATTGGTCCGATCTCTCCTCAGTATAACTGAGACTCCTCCTCCCCCAGTGGGACTCAGGAACACGGAACCCCTCCCGTGATACGGGTTCCACCACCAGTTCTAGAAGACCCGGAGGTTCCGGAACCGCCAGCTCAGTCACCCGGAACAAGGGGGAGTAGGCTCGGCCAATCAGGGCCAGCCTGCCAGATGGGATCCGGGGGTCTGGACCCCTCACCCGGCGCCAGTACACCAGGAAGTGGCGTACGAGCTGGGCAGGGTAGCGCCAGCGCAGGGTGGTGTTGAGGTGAAGTTTATCAGCGCCCCTCAGCCACACCACGTCATAGACACACACACTCTGGACTGGGAGGGGAGGAACGGAGAGGGACTCAGCATCCAGGATCTAGGGGGGGAGGGAGGACAAAAGAGGGGTAGAGACAAAGACAGACTGCTTATAAGAAACACGGATACACAAATCAGTCACTTACAAATGATTGAGATGTACAAACAGTTATACTGAACAAAAATATAAACGCAAAATGAAACTGGAGTGGTGTAAAACTCGCCGTCATTGGACTCTGGAGCGGTGGAAACGCGTTCTCTGGAGTGATGAATCACGCTTCACCATCTGGCAGTCCGACGGGCGAATCTGGGTTTGGCGGATGACAGGAGAACGCTACCTGCCCCAATGCATAGTGCTAACTGTAAAGTTTGGTGGAGGAGGAAAAATGGTCTGGGGTTGTTTTTCATAGTTCGGGCTAGGCCCCTTAGTTCCAGTGAAGGGAAATCTTAACACTACAGCATACAATGACATTCTAGATGATTCTGTGCTTCCAACTTTGTGGCAACAGTTTGGGGAAGCCCCTTTCCTGTTTCAGCATGACAATGCCCCCGTGCACAAAGCAAGGTCCATACAGAAATGGTCTGACGAGATCGGTGTGGAAGAACTTGACTGGCCTGCACAGAGCCCTGACCTCAACCCCCATCGAACACCATTGGGATGAATTGGAACGCCGACTGCGAGACAGGCCTAATTGCCCAACATCAGTGTCTGACCTCACTAATGCGCTTGTGGCTGAATGGAAGCAAGTCCCTGCAGCAATGTTCCATCATCTAGTGGAAAGCCTTCCCAGAAGAGTGGAGGCTGTTATAGCAGCAAAGGGGGGACCAACTCAATATTAATGTCCATGATTTTGGAATGAGATGTTTGACGAGCAGGTGTCCACATACTTTTGGTCATGTACTGTATCTTGACAGGCTGTATCATCTAATTTGATAACATCAGTGCATTTGTTACGATAATAATCCATATAAAGTACAGTAATTTGTTCAATTAGAGGCACGTGTGTAAGTGAAACTATTATTAAAACACCATAAAAGACTGAGATAATGGGAAATCCAACCAGAGATGGCTGATCTTGCTCTGTTTGAGGATCTGGCACACGCTGCATTTTGCAGAGAGTGCATTTTTAGAGACAGGTGGGACTTTTTTGCAGAAAGTACAGATTGGCTCATCAGATATCGTTTCCTAAAACCAATCTTATAGGATCTTTGAGAGGATTTAAGACCTACTTTAGAAAGGCACACATGCCATTCCGGTGCACATCCAGGTGCTATGCCGATCGGCATCTCCCAGCCCTCGATGAGCCGACGTTTTGGATGCAATCATCAGCTAAACAAACAGGTTGAAGTCGAGGGGTTTCTTTGCCATCAGGGTTCCCAAATATGAACAGAGAACTAGACCACATCGCCATAAAAACACCATTCCAAAACTAATTCAACTACTGTATGTGAACAGAAAAGGTTTCCACTCTTAATGAGCAGGTGATCGGTAATGTGATGATCAAGGCTTCCAGTCTTAATGAGCAGCTGATAGGTAATGTGATGATCAAGGCTTCCACCCTTAATGAGCAGGTGACAGGTCATGTGATGATCAATGCTTCCACTCTTAATGAGCAGGTGACAGGTCATGTGATGATCAAGGCTTCCACTCTTAATGAGCAGGTGATAGGTCATGTGATGATCAAGGCTTCCAGTCTTAATGTGCAGGTGACAGGTCATGTAATTATCAAGGCTTCCACTCTTAATGAGCAGGTGATGTAATGATCAAGGCTTCCAGTCTTAATGTGCAAGTGACAGGTCATGTGATGATCAAGACTTCCAGTCTTAATGAGCAGGTGATAGGTCATGTGATGATCAAGGCTTCCACTCTTAATGAGCAGGTGATAGGTCATGTGATGATCAAGGCTTCCACTCTTAATGAGCAGGTGATAGGTAATGTGATGATCAAGGCTTCCAGTCTTAATGAGCAGGTGATGTGATGATCAAGGCTTCCATTCTTAATGAGCAGGTGATGTGATGATCAAGGCTTCCAGTCTTAATGTGCAAGTGACAGGTCATGTGATGATCAAGGCTTCCAGTCTTAATGAGCAGGTGATAGGTCATGTGATGATCAAGGCTTCCACTCTTAATGAGCAGGTGATAGGTCATGTGATGATCAAGGCTTCCACTCTTAATGAGCAGGTGACAGGTCATGTGATGATCAAGGCTTCCACTCTTAATGAGCAGGTGATAGGTCATGTGATGATCAAGGCTTCCAGTCTTAATGTGCAGGTGACAGGTCATGTAATGATCAAGGCTTCCACTCTTAATGAGAAGGTGATAGGTCATGTGATGATCAAGGCTTCCAGTCTTAATGAGCAGGTGATGTGATGATCAAGGCTTCCATTCTTAATGTGCAAGTGACAGGTCATGTGATGATCAAGGCTTCCACTCTTAATGAGCAGGTGATAGGTCATGTGATGATCAAGGCTTCCACTCTTAATGAGCAGGTGATAGGTAATGTGATGATCAAGGCTTCCAGTCTTAATGAGCAGGTGATGTGATGATCAAGGCTTCCATTCTTAATGAGCAGGTGATGTGATGATCAAGGCTTCCAGTCTTAATGTGCAGGTGACAGGTCATGTAATGATCAAGGCTTCCACTCTTAATGAGCAGGTGATGTAATGATCAAGGCTTCCATCTTAATGTGACAAGGTGACAGGATGTGATGATCAAGGCTTCCAGTCTTAATGAGCAGGTGACAGGTCATGTGATGATCAAGGCTTCCACTCTTAATGAGCAGGTGATGTGATGATCAAGGCTTCCAGTCTTAATGTGCAAGTGACAGGTCATGTGATGATCAAGGCTTCCAGTCTTAATGAGCAGGTGATAGGTCATGTGATGATCAAGGCTTTCCACTCTTAATGAGCAGGTGAAGGTCATGTGATGATCAAGGCTTCCACTCTTAATGAGCAGGTGATAGGTATGTGATGATCAAGGCTTCCACTCTTAATGTGCAGGTGAGTGATGATCAGGCTTCCATCTTAATGAGAGGTGATTGAGATCAAGGCTTCCACTCTTAATGTGCAAGTGACAGGTCATGTGATGATCAAGGCTTCCATCTTAATGAGCAGGTGATAGGTCATGTGATGATCAAGGCTTCCACTCTTAATGAGCAGGTGATAGGTAATGTGATGATCAAGGCTTCCATCTTAATGAGCAGGTGATGTGATGATCAAGGCTTCCACTCTTAATGAGCAGGTGACAGGTCATGTGATGATCAAGGCTTCCACTCTTAATGAGCAGGTGATAGGTCATGTGATGATCAAGGCTTCCAGTCTTAATGTGCAGGTGACAGGTCATGTAATGATCAAGGCTTCCACTCTTAATGAGAAGGTGATAGGTCATGTGATGATCAAGGCTTCCAGTCTTAATGAGCAGGTGATGTGATGATCAAGGCTTCCATTCTTAATGTGCAAGTGACAGGTCATGTGATGATCAAGGCTTCCACTCTTAATGAGCAGGTGATAGGTCATGTGATGATCAAGGCTTCCACTCTTAATGAGCAGGTGATAGGTAATGTGATGATCAAGGCTTCCAGTCTTAATGAGCAGGTGATGTGATGATCAAGGCTTCCATTCTTAATGAGCAGGTGATGTGATGATCAAGGCTTCCAGTCTTAATGTGCAGGTGACAGGTCATGTAATGATCAAGGCTTCCACTCTTAATGAGCAGGTGATGTAATGATCAAGGCTTCCAGTCTTAATGTGCAAGTGACAGGTCATGTGATGATAAAGGCTTCCAGTCTTAATGAGCAGGTGATAGGTCATGTGATGATCAAGGCTTCCACTCTTAATGAGCAGGTGATGTGATGATCAAGGCTTCCACTCTTAATGAGCAGGTGATGTGATGATCAAGGCTTCCACTCTTAATGTGCAAGTGACAGGTCATGTGATGATCAAGGCTTCCACTCTTAATGTGCAAGTGACAGGTCATGTGATGATCAAGGCTTCCAGTCTTAATGAGCAGGTGATAGGTCATGTGATGATCAAGGCTTCCACTCTTAATGAGCAGGTGATAGGTAATGTGATGATCAAGGCTTCCATTCTTAATGAGCAGGTGATGTGATGATCAAGGCTTCCACTCTTAATGAGCAGGTGATGTGATGATCAAGGCTTCCAGTCTTAATGTGCAAGTGACAGGTCATGTGATGATCAAGGCTTCCAGTCTTAATGAGCAGGTGATAGGTCATGTGATGATCAAGGCTTCCATTCTTAATGAGCAGGTGATGTGATGATCAAGGCTTCCACTCTTAATGAGCAGGTGATGTGATGATCAAGGCTTCCAGTCTTAATGTGCAAGTGACAGGTCATGTGATGATCAAGGCTTCCAGTCTTAATGAGCAGGTGATAGGTAATGTGATGATCAAGGTTTCCAGTCTTAATGAGCAGGTGATAGGTAATGTGATGATCAAGGTTTCCAGTCTTAATGAGCAGGTGATAGGTAATGTGATGATCAAGGTTTCCAGTCTTAATGAGCAGGTGATAGGTAATGTGATGATCAAGGCTTCCAGTCTTAATGAGCAGGTGATAGGTAATGTGATGATCAAGGCTTCCAGTCTTAATGAGCAGGTGATAGGTAATGTGATGATCAAGACTTCTATTCTTAATGAGCAGGTGATGATGATCAAGGCTTCCATTCTTAATGAGTAGGTGATGTGATGATCAAGGCTTCCAGTCTTAATGAGCAGGTGATGTGATGATCAAGGCTTCCATTCTTAATGAGCAGGTGATGTGATGATCAAGGCTTCCAGTCTTAATGAGCAGGTGACAGGTCATGTGATGATCAAGGCTTCCACTCTTAATGTGCAGGTGACAGGTCATGTGATGATCAAAAGATGCTGCTGAATGTGGTGGCCAGGTGGAACTCACGACTCGTTCATTCTGCAGAACAACAGTGTTGGCCAACACGCTTACAGGTGGGAGCTGTTGAGGATGTATGGCTTATTGGTGTATGTTGCCTAGCTACTCATTTGAAGTATATTTGCCGTTGCTAAAGCAACTTGAATTGTCCTAATGGTCCTCTCTTCGTAGCTATGTTTTCATTTTTACAGGTCAAACCACAACTGAGCCCAATAAAACATTTTGGTTGTACTCAACCTCGTGACACTAGGCACCTCTAGTTCAGTCTCTGGTTGTGTCGTTATATTTTATGGTACAGTGTTGTATATTCCCCATGGGCTTTAAAGGGATGATTTTGACCATAGGAGCGTTTTGAAATGCGAATAGCCAAGGTCATGCACGAGCACTGAGGCTGATAACAATTGGTATTTATCAATGGTTAATTGGTATTTATCAACGGTTCATTGGTATTGATCAACGGTTCATTGGTATTGATCAACGGTGTGCTATGACGCTCATAGGATTGTTTGATAAATCACACTTTTCCAATGCGTACGAACATTCTAAATTCCCTTCATAAGTAGCATTTTAGAATAGTTTTTACGCAATATTGATAAATGAGGGCCCAGGTCTAAGAGTCTGGGACAGATATGATTCTGTTGATGGGTAATTCTATGGTAAGGTGTCTCTCTCACCATAATCTCTCCGACCCGGCATTTGAAGGGTGTGTTCTGATCTCCGCCATCACGCAGCACGTTCACACACACATCCCTCAGAGCACAGTCCTGCAGCTCCAACTGGGAACACCTGCACACACACGTTATTACTACAGTATTACTAGCCTATATCAGACACACGTTATTACTACAGTATTATTAGCCTATATCAGACACACGTTATTACTACAGTATTACTAGCCTATATCACACACGTTATTACTACAGTATTACTAGCCTATATCACACACGTTATTACTACAGTATTACTAGCCTATATCAGACACACGTTATTACTACAGTATTACTAGCCTATATCAGACACACGTTATTACTACAGTATTACTAGCCTATATCAGACACACGTTATTACTACAGTATTACTAGCCCATATCAGACACACGTTATTACTACAGTATTACTAGCCTATATCAGACACACGTTATTACTACAGTATTACTAGCCTATATCACACACGTTATTACTACAGTATTACTAGCCTATATCACACACGTTATTACTACAGTATTACTAGCCTATATCACACACGTTATTACTACAGTATTACTAGCCTATATCAGACACATGTTATTACTACAGTATTACTAGCCTATATCAGACACATGTTATTACTACAGTATTACTAGCCTATATCAGACACACGTTATTACTACAGTACTACTAGCCTATATCAGACACATGTTATTACTACAGTATTACTAGCCTATATCACACACGTTATTACTACAGTATTACTAGCCTATATCACACACATGTTATTACTAGCCTATATCAGACACACGTTATTACTACAGTATTACTAGCCTATATCAGACACACGTTATTACTACAGTACTACTAGCCTATATCACACACATTATTACTACAGTACTACTAGCCTATATCACACACATTATTACTACAGTATTACTAGCCTATATCACACACATTATTACTACAGTATTACTAGACTATTTCACACACGTTATTACTACAGTATTACTAGTCTATATCACATGTTATTATTACAGTATTACTAACCTATATCACACGTTATTACTACAGTATTACTAGCCTATATCAGACACACGTTACTACTACAGTATTACTAGCCTATATCAGACACATTATTACTACAGTATTACTAGACTATTTCACACACGTTATTACTACAGTATTACTAGTCTATATCACATGTTATTATTACAGTATTACTAACCTATATCACACGTTATTACTACAGTATTACTAGCCTATATCAGACACACGTTACTACTACAGTATTACTAGCCTATATCAGACACACGTTACTACTACAGTATTACTAGCCTATATCAGACACACATTATTACTAAAGTATTACTAACCTATATCACACGTTATTACTAACCTATATCACACGTTATTACTACAGTATTACTTGCCTGTATCAGACACATGTTATTACTACAGTATTACTAGCCTATCAGACACATGTTATTACTAGCCTATATCACACACGTTACTACTACAGTATTACTAGCCTATATCACACACATTACTACTACAGTATTACTAGCCTATCAGACACACGTTACTACAGTATTACTAGCCTATATCAGACACATGTTACTACAGTATTACTAGCCTATCAGACACAGGTTACTACAGTATTACTAGCCTATATCAGACCCACATTGCTACAGTATTACTAGCCTATATCACACACGTTACTACTACAGTATTACTAGCCTATATCACACACGTTACTACTACAGTATTACTAGCCTATATCGCACACGTTATTACTAAAGTACTACTAGCCTATATCACACACGTTACTACTACAGTATTACTAGCCTATATCACACACGTTACTACTACAGTATTACTAGCCTATATCGCACACGTTATTACTAAAGTACTACTAGCCTATATCACACACGTTACTACTAAAGTATTACTAGCCTATATCAGACGTTACTACTACAGTATTACTAGCCTATATCACACGTTACTACTACAGTATTACTAGCCTATATCACACGTTACTACTACAGTATTACTAGCCTATATCAGAGGTTACTACTACAGTATTACTAGCCTATATCACACGTTACTACTACAGTATTACTAGCCTATATCGCACACGTTATTACTAAAGTACTACTAGCCTATATCACACACGTTACTACTACAGTATTACTAGCCTATATCAGAGGTTACTACTACAGTATTACTAGCCTATATCACACGTTACTACTACAGTATTACTAGCCTATATCAGACACACGTTATTACTACAGTATTACTAGCCTATATCAGACACACGTTACTACTACAGTATTACTAGCCTATATCAGACACACGTTATTACTACAGTATTACTAGCCTATATCAGACGTTACTACTACAGTATTACTAGCCTATATCACACGTTACTACTACAGTATTACTAGCCTATATCAGACGTTACTACTACAGTATTACTAGCCTATATCAGACGTTACTACTACAGTATTACTAGCCTATATCAGACGTTACTACTACAGTATTACTAGCCTATATCACACGTTACTACTACAGTATTACTAGCCTATATCACACGTTACTACTACAGTATTACTAGCCTATATCAGACACACGTTATTACTACAGTATTACTAGCCTATATCAGACACACGTTATTACTGCAGTATTACTAGCCTATCAGACATGTTATTACTACAGTATTACTAGCCTATATCACACACGTTACTACTACAGTATTACTAGCCTATCAGACACACGTTACTACAGTATTACTAGCCTATATCAGACACATGTTACTACAGTATTACTAGCCTATATCAGACACAGGTTACTACAGTATTACTAGCCTATATCAGACCCACGTTGCTACAGTATTACTAGCCTATATCACACACGTTATTACTACAGTATTACTAGTCTATATCACACACGTTATTACTACAGTATTACTAGCCTATATCAGACACACGTTATTACTACAGTATTACTAGCCTATATCAGACACACGTTATTACTACAGTATTACTAGCCTATCACACATTCCTCAGAGCACAGCCCTGCATCGCCAACACACACACTTTTGACCACACACACACACACCACACCCAACACACACACACACCAGAGGTCTTCTTACCTGACAGTCCATCCGTCTGGGTTCCACTGTCCACAGCTCTGAGAGAACTGTCTCACCAACGGGTGGTCCTCTGTTAAAGCAGCAGGCTCAATACTGCTGGCTACAAACACACACACACACATCAATAATAATACAACACATTACAACTTGTGTGTGTGTGTAGCCAGCAGTGTTGTGTGATATGACTAACTCATTAGGTACATCCTGAACTGTGTGTGTGTGATGACTGACTTACTAGGTATATCAAACTGTGTGTGTGTGATGACTGACTCACTAGGTATATCCTCAACTGTGTGTGTGTGATATGACTGACTCACTAGGTATATCCTCAACTGTGTGTGATATGACTGACCTCACTAGGTATATCCTCAACTGTGTGTGTGATGACTGACTCACTAGGTATATCCTCAACTGTGTGTGTATGACTGACTCACTAGGTATATCCTCAACTGTGTGTGATATGACTGACTCACTAGGTATATCCTGAACACCACTGTGTGTGCAGAGTTTAGCGTCAGTAGTCTTTAACTCCAGAGAGACAGTGACCCCAGGAGACGGCTTATAGATCAGAGACACAAAGACCCTGGAGGATAGAGGTACCTGGAGAGAAAATATCCTGGGAGGGGAGGGGGAGAGAGAGAAGGGCCATAGCATTTGAGTCCTCAAAGCTGTAAGAGGAATATACTAGCCGTCATGAACACACACACACTCCCCTACCTGGCGCAGACTTTGGTCAGCATGGAGGGTATGAGTCCCTCTACGAGCAGAGAGCTGCCCCCGCTCCAGGCATCTTCAGGGCAGCCCTGGGTCCTCAGCCAGCCCTCCCCCTCCAGGTTCTCTCTGTAGTATAGGGGTTGCAGCTCCTGGGCATCCAGGTTGAACCAGCTACGATCCACCTCACGCTACACAACGCAGCAGACAGACACACAAACAGGACAGGTCAGAGGGTAGCTCTGTTAACCATGGTTACCTGCAAGGAAACACGTGCCGTCATCATTGCTTTGCACAAAAAGGGCTTCACAGACAAGGATATTGCTGCGAGTAAGATTGCACCTAAATCAACCATTTATCGGATCATCAAGTACTTCAAGGAGAGAGGTTCAATTGTTGTGAAGGCGGCGTCAGGGCGCCCAAGAAAGTCCAGCAAGCGCCAGGACCGTCTCCTAAAGTTGATTCAGCTGCGGGATCGGGGCACCACCAGTGCAGAGCTTGCTCAGGAATGGCAGCAGGCAGGTGTGAGTGCATCTGCACGCACAGTGAGGCAAAGACTTTTGGAGGATGGCCTGGTGTCAAGAAGGGCAGCAAAGAAGCCACTTCTCTCCAGGAAAAACATCAGGGACAGACTGATATTCTGCAAAAGGTACAGGGATTGGACTGCTGAGGACTGAGGTAAAGTCATTTTCTCTGATGAATCCCCTTTCCGATTGTTTGGGGCATCCGGAAAACACCTTGTCCGGAGAAGACAAGGTGAGCGCTACCATCAGTCCTGTGTCATGTCAACAGTAAAGCATCCTGAGACCATTAATGTGTGTGGTTGCTTCTCAGCCAAGGGAGTGGGCTCACTCACAATTTTGCCTAAGAACACAGCCATGAATAAAGAATGGTACCAACATATCCTCAGAGAGCAACTTCTCCCAACCATCCAAGAACAGTTTGGTGACGACCAATGCCTTTTCCAGCATGATGGAGCACCTTGCTATAAGACAAAAGTGATAACTAAGTGGCTCGGGGAACAAAAAATCGAAATTGTTGGTCCATGGCCAGGAAACTCCCCAGACCTTAATCCCATTGAGAACGTGTGGTCGATCCTCAAGAGGCGGGTGGACAAACAAAAACACACAAATTCGGACAAACTCCAAGCATTGATTATGCAAGAATGGGCTGCCATCAGTCAGGATGTGGCCCAGAAAATAATTGACAGCATGCCAGGGCGAATTGCAGAGGTCTTGAAAAAGAAGGGTCAACACTGCAAATATTGACTCTTTGCATAAACTTAATGTAATTGTCAATAAAAGCATTTGACACTTATGGAATGCTTGTAATTATACTTCAGTATACCATAGTAACATCTGACAAAAATATCTCATAACACTGAAGCAGCGAACTTTGTGAAGACCAATACTTGTGTTATTCTCAACTTTTGACCACGACTATAGTGTGGCGGTCATGGAATTTTGGATGACAATAATTGGGCAGCCAAATGACTGGTCTCCGTAACAACAAAACATTTTTAGGGACTCACATTTTCTCCCTACCTCCTCTCCTAACTGCATGTGCTGCCATAGGTGTCCCCATTCAAGTCAATTATGGCATAATGGGTGGACTGGCAGCCATTGCGAGTGTACCCATAGGAGCAAAGCAGGAAGTAAAAGCAGGAAGTGTACCCATCAATATGTGCTGTGATTTGTTGATTCAAATCAACTGACATTACAAAAAATACATTCCATTGCATGAGCCACATCAGTTAGCAGCATTTGAATAACATTTCTACATTATCATGGGAAGTATTGCATCACAATACCCAGGCAGCCAAGGCGGGGGCAATTTTATGAATATTCATGGTTTCGACAGAACCCATCGGGTGATTGGTTGAGCCTTCTTGAGTGCGTGCCATCACTATGAACCCTTACCAATACATGACGGCCAATTTCTCTTGCCTCGGATCTGAAACCAGTAGTAACCACCAACTTCAATGACAGTTAACATCAAATTAAAATACGAATTTGACATTCCTGCGCCCACAATAACGTTGTCGCCGAGGAGGGCTTGCTAGCTAGCTACAGAGTTTGATTAATATCAGTCGTTTTCTTATAAAACAGCTCAGCTCGCTAGCGAAATGCTAATTCGCTATGTTTGCTAGACTCAGGAGGTCATGGGGACATAGGCTTCAGCCAGGAGCAAGCGGGTTAGATATGATTCCACCCCATGGGCAACAACAACTGGCTACTAGTTTGTTTTCAGCCAAATATGTTCAACTCATGGCTAGTTTATCCAGTGACCACCACATTTAGAAGGATAGCTACTGACTGAAATGTAGCTAGCATTCTGGCTCACACTGGACATGCAGTAGCCAACTACTTAGTTAGCTAGCTAATCGTGGATGCCAAAATACACAGCTCTCTAGACTTGGGAACTCACGGGCATACAGGCTACCTAGAAATGATTCCACCAAGAGCAACTATAACTGGCGACTAGGTCATTTTCAGACAAATATTTTCAACTTAGTTTATCCACTGACAAGCGCATTTAGGAGGATAGCTAATTACTTAACTGTAGCTAGCTTGATCACTGACCAGACCAGGCAGTAGCCACTAACTAATCGTGGACGCATTACCTACTATTGATTGCATGCATGCTCTTCAATCGAACGCTGCTGGCACCCGCCCACCCGACTAGAATCACTACTCTCGACGGGTCTGACCTAGAGTATGTGGACAACTACAAATACCTAGGTGTCTGGTTAGACTGTAAACTCTCCTTCCAGACTCACATTAAGAATCTCCAATCCAAAGTTAAATCTAGAATCGGCTTCCTATTTCGCAACAAAGCCTCCTTCACTCATGCTGCCAAACATGCCCTCGTAAAACTGACTATCCTACCGATCCTTGACTTCGGCGATGTCATTTACAAAATAGCCTTCAACACTCTACTCAGCAAATTGGATGTAGTCTATCACAGTGCCATCCGTTTTGTCTCCAAAGCCCCATACACTACCCACCACTGTGACCTGTACGCTCTTGTTGGCTGGTCCTCACTACATGTTCGTCGTCAAACCCATTATATTATATTCTTTGATAGGTTTCGGTTAACTTGCTCATATCAAGCAATGCAAACAGACCGTTTGTGGAAAGGTAAAAATAACAATTAGTGGGCTCGTTTTTTTTGAATGATCGGACAGTGAAACTAAAATAGATTGGTAGCTAGCTGGTGAGGCTTTCATTTATTTCCCAATTAATTTGGTGATCAAGCTGAAGCGGGGTTTGACAAGTCATTTGGTCGGTGCTAACTGCTCATGCCGGTGGCGCTAGCTAGCCAAACAGACGGCTCTGTAGAACATCTGTGTGACGTCACACACTCAATAAGGCTCAACCAATCACCCGAAGGGTTCTATGTCGACACTCATGAATAGTCATGAAATTTCGTGAACCCATTAGTTTACCAGTCAAATTGCCAACTTCAGAGGTTCCAAGCCTATTATATTCATTGTTTGCTACAACACTTTGCAGATTTCAGCAAGGGGCAACAAAGTTTCATCACGTTGTCAACAGTCCATGTTATCGCAGAAAACATACTCGACCTCACGAATGCCCGGTCGTCACATCTTCAGTCACGCTTCTTCAACGGTTATGACAGTTATTTTATTTTCATGACTGTCTTCATCCGTAACCGTCGGTTACATAGTATTTGTGCCTGCCCTAGTTGTTACCCAAATGGTGGGTAGACTTGGGACCCCATAGTGGGTTATGGTCATGCTACTGGGCCATGGCTTAAGAGACTATTTTGGAGGGTCACATTAAAGTTCTATAGGCTTAAGGTGGGACAGTGTTCAAAATGTTTTGGGAACTAGGGATGTAGACCTGGTGAAAGGGGATAGGAGGATTTGATAATAGGTCCTGCTGTCTCTCTATAGAGTTTGTGCTCTCTCTCACTCTCACACTCTCACACACTCTCTCTCACAGTCTCTCTCTCTCCTCGTACCTGTCCCCTCCAGTAGAGGCTGGTCCCAGCACCCTGGCAGAAGGAGGAGATGAAAGGGAGGGGCGACGAGGGCCGGTGGACATACAGGAAGTCAGACAGCAGAGACCAGAACCTGCACACAGGAAACAGGATGTGACATTGTAGGATATGACATAGGAGGGTCACTTTCGACTGTGGCTATGCTACGTGTGGTATGAGTGAGCGCTTTATAAGATAGAAAATAATGTCTATTTTATTGTCTTATTCGACAGGGTCCAGGGAACATGTATAACAAACACTGCACCAGATTGTTGCTACATACCTTATTCTCATCTGCAGTCCTTAGATAGATAGCATCACTTTATATTTCCCAAAGGCACTTAAGGTGTGGCGTTCGATATAAAATCACACAAAATCCCCAAAACAACCACAGCACTACATTACACAGTAGAAGCAGTAGAAGTTAATCTCACTTGTCCTGTTCCTTCCTGAAGTCAGTCTTGTCTGGGATGGTCTCGTACACCCAGCCTGGAGCAAAGATGGCCGTAGAGAAGTCATGTTTACGAATCAGCTCCAGAGCCTGAAGGGGGGGGGAGAGAGAGACAGAGACAGAGACACAGAGAGCAAGAGAGAGACACAGAGAGCAACAGAGTGTGTAATGTTTACTGTTAATTTTTGTTTATTTCACTTTTGTTTACTATCTACTTCACTTGCTTTGGCAATGTTAACATACATTTCCCATGCTAATAAAGCCCTTAAATTGAGAGAGACAGAGAGCGAGAGAGAGATGTTTCTATATTGTTACACACACACACCACCATAATAAACCACTTCTATATGAAGATACACACACATACCTGTGACTAAGCACTGACACACACCCCACCATCTCCAGACCATCTCCAGACCCTCCCCCTCCTACCCTCCCAGTTCTAACCTTATTAGTCTACAGCTTCCCTCCCACCACCTCTCCCCTGGCGAACACGTCCACCCCAACAAAGATGTCCGCCAGACGGCCCTGAGCAGCTGAGTAGACCTTCATTCTCTCCAGGCTCTGCTCTGTCCAGTTATAGTTGGTGAAGATACCATCACACGCTGAGAAAAACACTCTGAGGGGAGGGAGGGAGGGAGGGAGGGAGGGAGGGAGGGAGGGAGGGAGAGGGGAGGGAGGGAGGGGGAGGGAGAGGAGAGGAGAGGGGAGGGAGGGAGGGATGTATAAAAGATCTCCTTATCTTCCCTATCCACATTCTCTCCTCCCTCCCTCCCTCCCTCCCTCCCTCCCTCCCTCCCTCCTCTTCTCTTCTCCCTCTCCCCTCTCTTCTCTCCTCCCTCTCTTCTCTCCTCCCTCTTCTCTCCCCCCTCTCCTCTCCTCTCCACCTACCTGTTGGATGGGTTGAGTTCATTCTGCCATTTGAGCTGTCCGTTCTCCAGGACAGAGTCATACCAGAGGACCATACTACCAGGGACTCTCTCGTGCATCTGGTCAGTCAGGTAACGTAGAAACAGAGGAGTGTTCTTCACAGCAGTCTCCTATTACACGGGAGGAGATGGAGGGTAGAGTACATACATGTTATCAATCATCAGTGTCTCCCAAATGGCACCCTGTCTCCTAGTGCACTACTTTAGACCAGGCCCCATAGGGCTGCACTATGGTCAATGTATTCATAGCACAGCAGTAGACGTCAGTATAATTAAGCAATAAGGCCTGAGGGGGTGTGGTATATGGCCATTATACCACGGCTAAGGGCTGTTCTTACGCACGACGCATTGCGGAGTGGCTGGATACAGCCATTAGCCGTGGTATATTGGTCATATACCACAAACCCCCGAGGTGCCTTATTGCTATTATAAACTGGTTACCAACGTAATCAGAGCAGTAAAAATAAATGTTTTGTCATACCCGTGGTATACAGGCTGATATACCACAGATGTCAGCCAATCAGCATTCAGGGCTCGAACCACCCAGTTTATAATATAGATTAGCAAATAACAGAGGACTATATGCCTAAAGGAGACATTCTGGGTCCAGCACACCGTGCAGACAACTGATAAGCTAATTATTGCTGTATCGGCCATATTGCTTAAACCTATACACTCCTTTCAGAAGTAAACAAGTGCCTGCAGGTGTAGAGGTGTAAAGACTATGGCTGTGTCCCAAATGGCACCGTATTCCCTATATAGTGCACTACTTATAGGGAATATAGTGCCATTTTTCGACGCACCCAATAACAAACTGTATAGTGAAACCAACGTGTCTATAGCATAGCAACAGACGAGTTTAGTATGGCTCCCGAGTGGCGCAGTGGTCTAAGGCACTGCATCTCAGTGCTTGAACCCCCTGGTTCAATTCCAGGCTGTATCACAACCGGCCGTGATTGGGAGTCCCATAGGGCGGCGCACAATTGGCCCAGCGTCGGCGTGCTGGCCAGAGAAGGCTCCCGATCGGCCAGGGGCACCGTCGCCACGTTAAAGGGGTTGGCCTCGCTGCGTTTCCACGACAGCAGCTCCTCCAGGGACTGAAGGCCGGAGCTGATTGGCTCAGTGGTATCCGGGTCGTAATGCTTAGCTGTAAGGGAAAGATACAGATTGGTCCGTTCTTTGTGCTTTAGGTAACATTTTGAGTTTTCACTGAATATGGGCTCCCGAGTGGCGCAGCGGTCTAAGGCACTGCATCTCAGTGCTTGAGGCGTCACTACAGACCCTCTGGTTCGATTCCAGGCTGTATCACAACTGGCCGTGATTGGGAGTCCCATAGGGCGGCGCATAATTGGCCCAGCGTCGTCCGGGTTTGGCCGGTGTAGGCCGTCATTGTAAATAAGAATTTGTTCTTAACTGACTTGCCTAGTTAAATAAAGGTACAATTAAATAAATAAATATGGTTAACTACTGTGTCTTCAGGTCTGCCTGGAGACCAAACAACTGGGTGGGCTGAATGAACAAGGCCAGAGTGTTAGAACTATTTCATCATTCACTGTCCTGTCATTTCCTAAGGATGAAAACCCTTCTGAAATCCAGAGGCTCTGTACCGTTATACAGTCTATTCTCTGTACCAACCTGGCAGAGATGAGGCGCCATACTTGATGAACACTTCTCAACTCAACTGGCTGATCCAAGCAAGACTCCAAACTGGTGAAATAGGAATGACAAATACATTTAGAATGTACAGTACCATACAATACAGTACAGTACCATAGAATACAGTACCATACAGGTCCTGTGGTCCTCTGTAGCTCAGCTGGTAGAGCACGGCGCTTGTAACGCCAAGGTAGTGGGTTCAATCCCCGGGACCACCCATACACAAAAATGTATGCACACATGACTGTAAGTCGCTTTGGATAAAAGCGTCTGCTAAATGGCATTTAATTAATTTAATAATACAGAGACCATGTGTGAAGCCAAGCATGGATTTAAAAAACAGTACTGTATTCCTTTTGATAATTGTATTTATCATTGCATTTATTCTAGCTGCTGTAAAAAGTGGGTTGTGTGCTCTGTGAACTTAAAACAACCCTACTTATCAGCAGCCCAGAGCAAGGCCTACACAACCTGCGAAGTGGCAGCTGTCAAAAAGGTTACCCGCTGCTTTCTGTTTTTAACCACTTTTTTTTATTTTTGAGGGGGGGGGGTGGATCAGCTTAATATTGCAGATAGATTGTATCTTCTATCAATGTAATTGTCTGCATCACTTCCAATCCCCCATGTTTTTTTTAATTTTTAATTTTATTTATTTTTTTATATATATATTCCCCTTTATTACTTTTCAACCCCACCATCCTTTCCCTACTTGGAGTAAATTAGTGAACAACAATGCCCAGGCCTCTACTTCCGGTCTATACTTACTATCTACACCTTATGGACAGAGTTAATTTTACAATAATTCTATTATATATATATATATATATATATTTTTTTTTTATTAATTTTTTGCTCCTGAACTTCTTCTACTCTCAACCTCTCCGATCATTTTCATGATGTCCATCCGGTTTGCTTCTAAATGCCATATCTTTCTAACTGTGCTCTTTCCCAAAAGCTCCCAACATACAACCTATATACTTATTATGGACACAGTATGCTTACATTATTAGCTATCTTTGTTATTATTTGTTGTTATTTGTTATTAGTCCCATCCTTCAACTCTATTCAATACCTCCCATCTATCTCTTAACACCATCCATATAGGATTTCTATTTGCCATATATATTTCAACCGTACTGTGATGTTTTACAAAAGTTCTGAACCTTTCTATTCTCATTGCTTCTACAGATTGTGAATTAAAAATAAACATTTTTGCTAAAAGTATTATTATATTATTGATTGATTGACTATGACTTTTCAGATCACCCAGTAATGCTATCTGCAAGGTTAGTTCCAGGTAAATATTGCAATCCTTTAGCCATTCCTGGACCTGTGTCCAAAAACAAGCTACAAATGGACAGAACCAAAACAAATGATCTAATGATTCTGTCTCTTCACAGCAAAATCTGCAGAGCTGGGAAGATTGTATCCCCCATATAAATAACATTCTATTGGTAGCAAGAATTTTATATAATAATTTAAATTGAAAGATTCTAATTTTTGAATCCGGTGTCGTTTTGCGTGTCAGTTCATAAACACTATGCCATGGGATCGGTACGTCAAAGATCTCTTCCCAACTATTTTGCAATCTATATGGGACGGCTGTCAATCCTTTGGTCCTTAAGTGAAACTGATATACTTTTTTATTTAACACAGTTTTCCTTAACCAATTATGTTCTTTAATGCAAGGCCGACAGACAAGTTCCTTACTTTCTCCCCCTTCAACTTTCCTCTTCCACTTTTGCGGTAAGGCTGCAATTATTTGGTTGTAATTTTGGGTAGAGCAGACATTTCCATATGTTTTTGTTAGCTGCATGTGCGACATAACTCCACCAGTCCTACCAATGATATCATTTACGAAGATTATACCTTTTTTAAACATTCTGTCAAAAAATAAAGGTTTTTTGTCAATTAGTATATTTGAATTTAACCACAATATTTGTTGCATTATTTGTTCTGTCGTTTCTGGAGGATTAAATTGAAATTGCAACCAACTTTCTATGGCTTGTTTTAGAAATAGTGACATTTGGGAGATTATTTCCTTTTCAAATAACTGAAAGTGAGAGGTTGTAATCTGAATAAAGGGAAAAAGGCCTTTCTTGAACAGTGGGTGAGACAATCTTACTAATTTGCTTGAGAACCAGTTCGGATTTAAGTATAACTTTTGGATGACTGAAGATTTTAGTGATAGGTCTAATGCTTTAATATTTAATAATTTCTGTCCTCCGAATTCATATTCATTATATAAATATGCTATTTGAATTTTGTCTGGCTTGCCGTTCCAAATAAAATTGAATATTTTTTTCTCATATAATTTAAAAAACTGTTTGCTAGGCGTAGGCAAGACCATAAGCAAATAGGTAAACTTGGATAATACTAAAGAGTTAATCAGGGTGATTTTTCCACAAATTGACAGGTATTTTCCTTTCCATGGTAGTAAGATCTTATCTATTTTTGCTAACTTTCTATTAAAATGTATTGAAGTGAGATCATTTATTTCCTTTGGGATATGTATTCCGAGTATATCCACATCACCATCAGACCATTTTATTGGTAAACTACATGGTAATGTAAAAATTGTATTTTTTAGTGATCCAATACGTAATATAGTACATTTGTCATAATTTGGTTTTAATCCAGAGAGGTTAGAAAATGTATCTAGATCCTCTATGAGGCTGTGGAGGGATTCTAGTTGTGGATCTAAAAGAAAACATGAATCATCTGCGTACAATGACACCTTTGTTTTTAAGCCCTGTATTTCTAATCCCCTGATATTATTGTTGGATCTGATTTTAATAGCTAACATCTCGATGGCCATAATAAATAGATATGCCGATAGTGGACAACCTTGTTTCACTCCTCTTGACAGTTTAAAACTTTCTGAGAAATAGCCATTATTTACTATTTTACACCTAGGGTTACTATACATGATTTTGACCCATTTTATAAGAGATTCTCCAAAATTGAAATGCTCCAGGCATTTATATATAAACCCCAGTCGAACTTTATCAAATGCCTTTTCGAAGTCTGCTATGAATAGCAGGCCTGGTTTCCCATATTTTCCATAGTGTTCTATTGTTTCCAATACTTGCCTTATATTATCTCCAATGTATCTTCCATGTAAAAAACCTGTCTGATTAGAATGAATAATATCCGACAATACCTTTTTAATTCTATGCGCTATACATTTTGCTAGGATTTTTGCATCACAACACTGAAGTGTAAGGGGCCTCCAATTTTGTAAATGGACTGGATCTTTATATTTTCCACTTGTATCCTGTTTCAGTAATAATGAGATCAGGGCCCGTATCCTTAAAGATTCTGAGAATCCTCTCAGAGAGCTCCTAACTTAACCTAAAAATTCCTTGCCAGGAGTTTTAGCTTAGAAGTGATTCCAGAACATTTTCAGTGAACTCTGAGCCAGGAATGGATGAAAAATCCTATCTTAGTGAGGAGGTGTGGTTGACCCCGTTGCTAGGTATGAGTCATCATTTCAAAAGCCGTGATTGGTTGATCCTACAAGTTTGATGAAAATGAACTTTTGGTGATAATGAGCAAAGGATGTACCCTCAAATCAATAAACATAATTATACACTCTAATCTTATGCAGACTATAATTGTAAATAATATTTCACATTCAAGAAAATATCTGGAAAATGAATAGTAAGCTGTAGGGGTTATAGCCTAACATTAGAATCTAAAATATGTGAAAACTTAAGCTCATTACACCCTGTTCAAATAATGATTTGTGTCTCATTTGCTCATATTAATATCCTAGCTGGCATAGTTTGTACTTTCACTTCCATATGGACCCCATTGAAAACAAGATGGCCTATCTCAAGGGGCTGTCCTTAATGAAGTAGAAATTGCAACGTTACAACTCAGTGTGAACTTAACGAGGGTAACACAGCTCAGCTTTTAACAATGTCTGTGATTGCTGGCTGGTCTATTTATGAAGGCTTGTTAACAAATATCCTACAAACACAGAAAATGGAGAAAAAAAGGAATCGCAAGCCGAACTGGACTGAGGAGCAAGGTTTGTTGCTGGCCCAGTTGGTGAACGAACATAAAGGTATGTTACGAGGAAAATTTGGCCCAACTGTCACTAGCCAAGGCAAGAGGCGCGCCTGGGACACAATATCCCAAACAATCAATGCCTCTTTTCCACTGGTGGTGCGGACAGGCGACGATTGTGAGAAAAGGTGGTATGTGCTGCAGTCCAAGGCAAAAGATGAGATTGCAGCACACAAGCGGGAATCCTCACTCACAGGTGAGCAAAATACTATGGCCTACCACATAATCTGGCAATTTGCTCCTGCTGGCAAAGTTAATTTACATGCCTAAGTACTGTGTTCATTGACTGTTTCTTTCTAGGGGGTGGACCACCTGCAAAGCGGCTGTCCCAGGTGGCCGACACTGTCTTTCAAGTCCTGGGACACTCTGAGGTCAGTGTCACCGGGCTGCCAACAGGCATTGACACGTCAATGATGCAGGCCCTTGAAATGCAGCAAAGGTAGGACACAGGGTTATTCATATCAACAGTGTTTATTCATTGCAGAAGCCATTTCATGTGTTATCCATGCTCATTGTATTAAATTAATTTAATCAAAACAATAATTAAACTAGGCCTATGTATTTCTGTAGCATGGAGCCATCACAAGAACCGGGCCCATCAAGTTTGCCGCCTGAACCATCTGCAGCTGCTACTCAGGATAGCCCGGCGGATCAAACACCATTCCCATCCGCAGCACCTGCTCCGTCAGCATCCCTGCAGGAGAGAAGATTGCAACTCACAATTGATGTGTTTGAACAACAAAAAAAAGTCCTTTCCCTTCAGGAGGAGTACTACCGCCTTAAAATTGAACACCTAAAAAATAAACCATTTAGAGATTGTGTTCTGTGTCTTGCATTTAACAGTTGCAGGTGATGTGCAGTAAAACTGTGGTAGTTCTTAATACCATCACAAGTTCTCAAATGACATGGGGCTACAGCTTGCCTGAAATGTAAATTTGTGAAGTTTGCCCTGTAAGGCAGTCCACTCTGGGCTAGGTTCCCCTGTGGAATGTGAATATCTTCTTCACCACCATCCTCATCGTTGTCTCCATCCTCATCCTCATCGCCATCCTCCAGAGGTTCTGCAATCTGTCTAACCTTGCAAATATTGTGTAATATTGCACAGGCTATGATGAGTTTGCTGACTTTTTCAGGCCTCAGCCGCACCTCTCCGTGGAGAACATGAAAGCGCCTCTTAAGCTGGCCTATGCCACGCTCCACCACCGCTCTTGTTGTCTTGTGGGCCCTACAATAGAATACAGACCTTTAATTATTTGATGGAAATATTGCACTACTTGGATGCTCTAACATATTGCTTGCATTTCATTTCCATGATTTTTGTATTGTTTGGCTTACCTGTTATAGTTTAGTTGGGGCCCTTGGCGTGGCTGGAGGTAAGGTGTAAGGAGCCATGGTTTGCATGGGTAGCCACTGTCCCCTAACAAGTGGCAATTAGCTGCCACATAGCGTCTCTCAAAAAGCTGTCTGATGCCACTCTCGGAGAGCATTCTCGCATCATGTGTGGAGCCTGGCCATTTAGCCACAATGTCCAAAATCTTCCAGGCCGCATTGAACACTATTTGCACATTGATGCTGTGGAAATTCTTCCTGTTAACAAAGACAGCCTCGTCCTCTGATGGCGCAATTATTCTCACATGTGTTCCATCAATTACACCCACAACGCCAGGGAATCCTGCAATGTCCATAAATGCCCTTTTATGTGTGTGTAAAGTGCGGGCATCCAGCGGGAATGAAACAAATTGTGTCACAATATTAGGTTGTGACAAAGCTGTCAGTGTTTGGGTGATGACTCTGCTGACGGAGGATTGGGACAGACCCAAGTCATCACTGCTGCATTGTTGCATTTTCCCTGTTGCCAAATACCTCAGGGTTGTGATTACTTTCTTCTCCGGTGTAATAGCGTTGTGGCGTCGAGTTGGTGAAGTAATTGCATCTCTAAGGAGATCCACCACAAACATGATTCCTGCACGATCCAATCTGTAGCGTCTCAATAATTCCCTGTCATCCAGTGTTTGCAGGACATCTCTCCTGCCTCCTCTGTTGGCCATTTTGTGCAGCTGCTTAGGGTAACTCCTAAGCCACTAAAAGTCCTCTTCCCTGCTCTTAGCAGATCTCGCCTTAGGAGCCCTTTTAAGCGCTAGGACTCTTGAGGAATAGCTTTTATATTAACTGGGATTTTCGTGTCACTTTTAGGGGAAATTCTAAGAAAACGTCATGCCTCTGAGAATTTTCTTAGAATTTGGCCGCTAGGAGCCACTTTTTGCACAAAAATTCTTTAGAGATACGGGCCCAGACCTTCTTCTTGAGTGTCAGATAATCTACCATTTACATAGGAGTGGTTAAAACATGCTCTTAACGGTCCTCTTAGTATATCAAAAAAGGTTTGGTATACCTCGACTGGTATGCCATCCAACCCTGGAGTTTTCCCAGACTTAAAGTCTTTAATTGCATCCAGAAGTTCCTCCTCTGTAATTTCACCTTCACATGAGTCTTTCTGTGTGGCTGTTAATTTGACATTATCAATAGAAAAAAAATCTCTACAATTAGCTTCAGTTAGAGGAGATGGAGGCGACTGAAAAGAAAACATATGCTTAAAGTACTTTGTTTCTTCCTTCAAAATATCATTTGGTGAATTATGGGTGACTCAATTGTAACCAGTTTCATTAAGTTCTTTTTGGTAGCATTCCTATGTTGAAGATTAAAAAATAATTTTGTGCATTTTTCCCCATATTCCATCCAGTTTGCTTTATTTTTATAATATATTACACTTGATCTTTCTTGAATAAGTTTCTCCATTTCCTTTTGTTTTTCCTCTAATTTATTCTGAGCCTCTATGTTACAGTTTTTATTGCCATCTATCTGTTCTGTTAGACTTTCTATTTCCTTTCTTAGTATAAACTCTTTTGACCTAAATTGCTTTTGTTTTCGAGATGAGTACTGAATTGCATGGCCTCTAAAGGCACATTTAAAGGTGTCCCATACAATAAGGGGATTCGCTGTACCTATGTTATGTTGGAAAAAGTCAGTTATAAATTCCTTTGTTCTAATTATAAATAAATTATCATCCAATAGGCTTTGATAAAATTTCCAATATCCTCGCCCACGTGGAAATTCAGTAAGAGTAATGTATATGCCTATTATATGATGGTCCGACCGCATTCTGTCCCCTATCAACACTTTTTTTTACTTTTGGTGCCAACGAGAATGAGATAAGAAAGAATTCCCACGGGGGGCCAGTATAAAAAAAATATGTATTCACTAACTGTAAGTCGCTCTGGATAAGAGCGTCTGCTAAATGACTAAAATGTCAAATGTAAGTCAAGACCTGTCCTGTCATTTCCTAAGGATGAAAACCCTTCTGAAATCCAGAGGCTCTGTACCGTTATACAGTCTATTCTCTGTACCAACCTGGCAGAGATGAGGCGCCATACTTGATGACTTCATGAACACTTCTCAACTCAACTGGCTGATCCAAGCAAGACTCCAAACTGGTGAAATAGGAATGACAAATACATTTAGAATGTACAGTACCATACAATACAGTACAGTACCATAGAATACAGTACCATACAGGTCCTGTGGTCCTCTGTAGCTCAGCTGGTAGAGCACGGCGCTTGTAACGCCAAGGTAGTGGGTTCAATCCCCGGGACCACCCATACACAAAAATGTATGCACACATGACTGTAAGTCGCTTTGGATAAAAGCGTCTGCTAAATGGCATTTAATTAATTTAATAATACAGAGACCATGTGTGAAGCCAAGCATGGATTTAAAAAACAGTACCGTATTCCTTTTGATAATTGTATTTATCATTGCATTTATTCTAGCTGCTGTAAAAAGTGGGTTGTGTGCTCTGTGAACTTAAAACAACCCTACTTATCAGCAGCCCAGAGCAAGGCCTACACAACCTGCGAAGTGGCAGCTGTCAAAAGGTTACCCGCTGCTTTCCGTTTTTAACAACTTGCTCCCGATCTGATCCTCTCCTTCTTCTCTCTTTCTCCTCCGCAAAGACCCATCCTCCTTATGCTCAGTAGTCAATGCACCGTCCATGGTGAGAAATATGAATTAGAAGTCTATGAATGCATGGAAGACAAACAGGTATCAATGGCAGAATTTTGCATTCCTCAGGTTCGGGACAGAGTGCAAAATAAACATTTCTTTGTTCACTGCGATTGGCTGCAGTTCTGGTGACGTTCAAAAGCGTGTGCTTCGGCCGACGAATGAGAGCTGAGATGCGGCGATCACGTAGAATGTGTTTTTTACTACGTCTGTCAGTCGTCGTGCTGTTGGACAGAAAACCCGGCATGGATTCTTGGCTCTGGTGGATTTTTGACCTCATACCGGCCACTAGATGGCAATATAAAACCACTTGTCAGGCTGAATTGCCAGTGATTCAAAAGGTAATGTAAACACTGAGTGTACAAAACATTACGAACACCTTCCTAATATTGAGTTGCACCTCCCCTTTTGGCCTCAGAACAGCCTCAATTCGTTGGGGCATGGACTCTACAAGGTGTCGAAAGCGTTCCACATGGATGCTGGCCAATATTGTGGGCCTCATAATAACCCTCATCATCACTAGTGGTTGCCTGTGTAATTAAAGATGATCTCTTGGGTGTTCCTAATCAGTCTAGCTGGGGAGTGTAGGCCACTAGTCACAGCTATTAACTATTTATAAACTAGGAATTAACTAACTAGCATAGCTAACTATCCATCTTTAATTTAGGACAGATGCTTTGATCAGATTAGATTAGAGAGCTTAATAGTCGCATGTATAGGGTTGAAGATGTAATTGCAAGGTACAGTGACAATCTTAAACTCTGAGGTCCAACGATGCTGGTCGAAGTGAAATAAAATTGATAATAATAGAGATAAATTAAATAGAGATAAAATCTATACATATTTGGTACATTTACATGAACATTTTAGTCATTTAGCAGACGCTCTTATCGAGAGCGACTTACAGTTAGTGCATTCATCGTAAAATAGCTAGGTGAGACAACCACATATCACAGTCATAGTAAGTACATTTTTCCTCAATACAGTACCATACAGTACAGTACCATACAGCACAGTACCATACAGTACCATACAGTACCATACAGCACAGTACCATACAGTACAGTACCATACAGTACCATACAGCACAGTACCATACAGTACCATACAGCACAGTACCATACAGCACAGTACCATACAGCACAGTACCATACAGTACCATACAGTACAGTACTATACAGCACAGTACCATACAGTACCATACAGCACAGTACCATACAGCACAGTACCATACAGTACAGTACCATACTGCACCATACAGTACAGTACCATACAGCACAGTACCATACAGTACAGTACCATACAGTACAGTACCATACAGCACAGTACCATACAGTACCATACAGTACAGTACCATACAGCACAGTACCATACAGTACCATACAGCACAGTACCATACAGTACCATACAGCACAGTACCATACAGCACAGTACCATACAGTACCATACAGCACAGTACCATACAGTACAGTACCATACAGCACAGTACCATATAGTACAGTACCATACAGCACCATACAGCACAGTACCATACAGTACAGTACCATACAGCACAGTACCATACAGCACAGTACCATACAGTACAGTACCATACAGCACAGTACCATACAGTACAGTACCATACAGCACAGTACCATACAGCACAGTACCATACAGTACAGTACCATACAGCACAGTACCATATAGTACAGTACCATACAGCACCATACAGTACAGTACCATACAGTACCATACAGCACAGTACCATACAGTACCATACAGCACAGTACCATACAGTACAGTACCATACAGTACCATACAGCACAGTACCATACAGTACCATACAGCACAGTACCATACAGTACAGTACCATACAGTACCATACAGCACAGTACCATACAGTACCATACAGCACAGTACCATACAGCACCATACAGTACAGTACCATACAGTACCATACAGTACCATACAGCACAGTACCATACAGTAACCATACAGTACAGTACCATACCAACAGTACCATACAGTACAGTACCATACAGCAACCATACAGTACAGTACCATACAGCACCATACAGTACAGTACCAATACAGTACCATACAGCACAGTACCATACATTACCATACAGCACAGTACCATATAGTACAGTCCATACGTACCATACAGCACAGTACCATACAGTTACCATACAGCACGTACCATACAGTACAGTACCATACAGTACCATACAGCACAGTACCATACAGTCCATACAGCACAGTACCATACAGTACAGTACCATACAGTACCATACAGCACAGTACCATACAGTACCATACAGCACAGTACCATACAGCACCATACAGTACAGTACCATACAGTACCATACAGTACCATACAGCACAGTACCATACAGTACCATACAGTACAGTACCATACAGCACAGTACCATACAGCACAGTACCATACAGTACAGTACCATACAGCACCATACAGTACAGTACCATACAGTACAGTACCATACGTACCATAACCAGTATCGCACAGTACCATACAGCTACAGTACCATACAGTACAGTAACCAGTACATACCATACGTACAGTACCATACAAGCACCATACAGTACAGTACCATCAGTACCATACAGCACAGTACCATACAGTACAGTACCATACAGCACCATACAGATCAGTACCATACAGTACCATCAGTACAGTACCATGACAGTACCAATACAGTACAGTACCATACATTACAAGTACCTACAGCACAGTACCATACAGCACAGTACATACAGTACTACCATCAGTACAGTACCATACAGCAACCATCAGTAACAGTACCATACAGCACCATACAGCAGTACCATACGACCATACAGTACGTACCATACGTACCATACAGTACAGTACCATACAGTACCATACAGTACAGTACCATACAGCACAGTACCATACAGCACAGTACCATACAGTACCATACAGCACAGTACCATACAGTACAGTACCATACAGTACCATACAGCACAGTACCATACAGTACCATACAGTACCATACAGTACCATACAGTACCATACAGCACAGTACCATACAGTACAGTACCATACAGCACAGTACCATACAGCACAGTACCATACAGCACAGTACCATACAGTACAGTACCATACAGCACAGTACCATACAGTACAGTACCATACAGTACAGTACCATACTGCACCATACAGTACAGTACCATACAGTACAGTACCATACAGCACCATACAGTACAGTACCATACAGTACTATACAGCACAGTACCATACAGCACAGTACCATACAGTACAGTACCATACAGTACAGTACCATACAGCACCATACAGTACAGTACCATACAGCACCATACAGTACAGTACCATACAGTACCATACAGTACAGTACCATACAGTACCATACAGCACAGTACCATACAGTACAGTACCATACAGTACCATACAGTACAGTACCATACAGTACAGTACCATACAGCACCATACAGTACAGTACCATACAGTACCATACAGCACAGTACCATACAGCACAGTACCATACAGTACAGTACCATACAGCACCATACAGTACAGTACCATACAGTACCATACAGTACAGTACCATACAGTACCATACAGTACAGTACCATACAGTACAGTACCATACAGCACAGTACCATACAGCACAATACCATACAGCACAGTACCATACAGCACAGTACCATACAGCACCATACAGTACAGTACCATACAGCACCATACAGTACAGTACCATACAGCACCATACAGTACAGTACCATACAGCACCATACAGTACAGCACCATACAGTACAGTACCATACTGCACCATACAGTACAGTACCATACAGTACAGTACCATACAGCACCATACAGTACAGTACCATACAGCACCATACAGTACAGTACCATACAGTACCATACAGTACAGTACCATACAGTACCATACAGTACCATACAGTACAGTACCATACAGTACCATACAGTACAGTACCATACAGTACAGTACCATACAGTACCATACAACACAGTACCATACAGCACAGTACCATACAGTACCATACAGCACAGTACCATACAGTACAGTACCATACAGCACAGTACCATACAGCACAGTACCATACAGCACAGTACCATACAGTACCATACAGCACAGTACCATACAGTACAGTACCATACAGTACAGTACCATACTGCACCATACAGTACAGTACCATACAGCACCATACAGTACAGTACCATACAGTACCATACAGTACAGTACCATACAGCACAGTACCATACAGTACAGTACCATACAGTACAGTACCATACTGCACCATACAGTACAGTACCATACAGCACCATACAGTACAGTACCATACAGTACCATACAGCACAGTACCATACAGCACAGTACCATACAGTACAGTACCATACAGTACAGTACCATACAGCACCATACAGTACAGTACCATACAGCACCATACAGTACAGTACCATACAGTACCATACAGTACAGTACCATACAGTACCATACAGCACAGTACCATACAGTACAGTACCATACAGTACCATACAGTACAGTACCATACAGTACAGTACCATACAGCACCATACAGTACAGTACCATACAGTACAGTACCATATAGCACCATACAGTACAGTACCATACAGTACCATACAGTACAGTACCATACAGTACCATACAGCACAGTACCATACAGTACCATACAGTACAGTACCATACAGTACCATACAGTACAGTACCATACAGTACCATACAGCACAGTACCATACAGTACCATACAGTACAGTACCATACAGTACAGTACCATACAGTGCCCATGGCTAAGGTGATCATATTGATTATTTCGAGTGTTTGGCTTTGTCCCTTTGCACACTTCAAATAAGTTACTGGAAACAGTAGACTAATCTAGTGAACTTAAAACAAGCCATCACTGTGTAGCTTCACTATGTGGGTAACTGTCATCTGAGGTTGTTGGCCTAACTGTGGTTTGAATTGGAG